AATGACTTTCTTTTGTCCTATCAACTTTATCAGATGACCCCCCCTACACACACACGCAATTATCCAAGTATTTGGAGAGATAGAGAAGCATCTCTCTGTGTCCACCTTCTCCATGCCTTCTCAGTCATGTCTCCTAGCAATCAACTTTTTCCCAAGGTAAAGAGTGCTGAACACATTGAAGTTAGCATTTCTGTCCATTTGGCATCACATTTATATTTGCCACTTGGTTGCCAGTTTACCCAAAAAGAGGTCCTGCTAGTTCTAGAATCCCTTCAATAGCCATCATTCTTGACTCTTCCCTCTCTGCTCCTTATCCGAAGGGAAGACCACATGAGTAACAACACATTTCTTTGGAAGTCATTTTTAAAAAGCTAATAGTGGATGTTCCCTTTTGGGGAGATCACAACCATGAAATGGAACCTGGGGATCCTTTGTCCACAATCCAGGAAGCCACTGCAGAGTGCTTAGCAAAGAGCAGCTGATGGGTTAACAAAAAACAGCCTCCCATAATTGTTTTGTGCTCCATCACTGGAGGCTCCCAAGAAAAGATTGGACAACCATTTGTCCAGAATGGTATAGTGTCTCCTGCCTTGAGCAGCGGGGTGGACTAGAAGACCTCCAAGGTTCCTTCCAGGCCTACAGTTCTATGATTCTATGATCCTGCGCAGAGGTGGACTAGAAGACCTCCAAGTCCCTTCCAGCCCTAAGACTCTATGATTCTATGATTACAGTAATTGAAAGCCCTGAAAACACTCAGAGGCTTCCCAAGCATCCATCAGGCAGAGAGAATTATCCCACTCAGACAGGAGATCCGGGGGTGAAGAGATCCGCCAATCTTGGGGGACAGAGGTTGTGTGCTATGTGGGTCCTTCTGTGCACCCTAAAACTAAGTAGGTTCTCTAGATATGGCAGAACATTAGTTCACTTTATATGTAGGTTCAACGGCCACATAAAGTACAATTTTAGGACAGTTCTAAGAATAAAAAATGGAGCATGATAAGGATGAAACAAGCCATTAAAAATGTGTAAAAATGTAAAATACACAGAAACAACCTACACTACTACACATTACGAGAACTATTAAACAATTACCAATTACTAAAACTGAAAACAACAGCATATTTAAGTTTCAATCTTGTAATGGCTAGAGTTTAGGCTTCTTATCATTCTAGGAAGGGAATATAAATACATGAATATGAACCTGAATAAATCTTGCTATTACTCATTGTAAAATCATAAAATGAGGTTCAGGAATCTGCCATGAAAGATCATGAGATTCTGGAAAGGAAAAACTGAACTGCCTTGTAATGAAGAAACAATGGGCTTGAATTTGGTTTAAACCTCCACGAATGGAGCATTCACAACTTCTGGTGGCAAGCTGTTCCACTGGTTAATTGTCCTCATTGTTAGAAAGTTTCTCCTTAATCCCAAATTGCTTTTCTCTTTTATTAATTTCCATCCATTGTTTCTTCTTCTGTCTTCTGGTGCTTTGGAAAATAAGCTGCTCCCTTCTTCTTTGTGCCAGCCCCTCAAATACTGGAATCCTGCTATCATGTCCCCCCTAGTCCTCCTTTTCTCTAGCCTGGTCATACCCAATTCCTGCAACCATTCTTCATATGTTTTTATTTCCAGGCCTTTAATCATCTTTCTCTTTCTTTCTTTCTTTCTTTCTTTCTTTCTTTCTTTCTTTCTTTCTTTCTTTCTTTCTTTCTTTCTTTCTTTCTTTCTTTCTTGGTTCAATTTATATGCCACCCTTTTCCAGAGACTCAGGGCGGCTTACAATGCGTTAAGCAATAGCCTTCATACTTTTGTATATAACTGCTTGCCCCCACAATCCGGGTCCTCATTTTACCTACTTCGGAAGGATGGAAGGCGGGGTCAACCTTGAGCCTGGTGAGATTTGAACTTGCAGTAATTGCAGGCAGCTGGTGCTACTTAACAGCACTTTAGTCTGCTGCGCCACCAAGGTTCTTCAGAAGAAAGAAAAGCAAGAAGTTGCTCTTCTTTGCACTTTTTCCAAAGCCTCAACAACTTTTTGGTAATTTGATATCCAAAACTGGATGCAGAATTCCAGGTGTGGCTTTATAAAGTGGTACTAATGCTTCACATGATTTTATGCCTCTGTTTATGCAACTCAGGATTGTATTAGCTTTTTTGACTGCTGCTGCACACTGCTGGCTCGTGTTTAAATGATCGTCCACTGGGACTCTAAGGTTATTGATTTTGAGCCAGGTTTTGCCTAAAGGTAGGTATACCTTTGGTTTTTCCTGTATAGGTGTAAAACCTTGTTTTTCTCCACATTTTCTCCACATTCATTTTGTTGGATAGGGCCCATTGTCAAGATCTTTTTGGATCCTGAGCTTGTCTTCTGGGATGTTGGCTATCGGTCATAGTGTCATCTGCAAATTTGATGAGTTCCCCTTCTATTTCTTCATCGAAATTATTTATGAAAATATTGAAGAGTCCTGGGCCTAAGATGGAATCTTGTGGTACGCCACTGCTTACTTCCCTCTGTGTAGATATAGTACTGTTAAGGACTACTCATTGAGTACAGTTTGTCAGTCAGTTACAAATCCATCTGGTGGTGAAGCTCTCCATCCCACATTTTTCTAGCTTACCAAGAAGTAGGTTGTGGTCTTCCTTGTCAAATGCCTTGCTAAAACCTAAGTGTACTACGTTCACAGCATATCGCTGGTCTATTAATTTAGTCACTTCAAAGAATGAAATAAGATTGGTTTGGCATGATCTGTTTTTAACAAACCCATGCTGGCTACCAGTTATAACTTTATTTGTTTCTAGATGTTCACAGATCTGTTTTTTATTATTTTTTTTCCAGTATTTTCCTAGGTATTGATGTTAGGCTAGTTGGTCTGTAGTTTCCAGGGCCTGGGTTTGTTTGTTTTTGTCCTTTTTTGGAGATGAGAAGCACATCAGCTCGTTTCCAGTCCTCTGGTAGTTCCCCGGCACTCCAGGATTTTTTAAAGACATGATACAATGGTTCTAACCCTAACATCTGCCAGCGCCTTCAGAACTCTGGGATGTAATAGTCTGTAGAGAGTCTCAGTCATCCAGGTTATGTTTGTCCCAAAGGTGCTTTTTCAACAGGCAACTGGACTTTCTTGTTATTTCTTTGGAGATGTTTCGCTTCTCCTCCAAGAAGCTTCTTCAGCCCCACCATCCAGTCAGAGCTGAAGAAACTTCTTGGAGGAGAAGCAAAACGTCTTCGAAAGAAAAACCAGAAAGTCCAGTTGCCTCTTGAAAAAGCACTTTGGGACAACTATTACCTGGATGACTGAGAATCTCCATAGACATTCTCCTTTTTGTCTTTCAGTTTATCAGAGAGATCTTTGTGCAACCATGCTGGTTTCTTCTTGGATTTCTTGTTTTTCTTTTTCGTGTGGATGAAAATTGTGTTGGACTGGGCTTCTATGGTCATATTTTTCAGTGTTTCCCATGCTTCTTGAGTTGTTTTCCCCTTTAGGATTTTTATCCATTAAATTTTGCTTAGGCCCTCTCTGTTAAAATCATCTTTTTAAAGTTTAAGACACTAGTTGGATTGTTTTCTATTGCTTGTGTTTGCATTATATTGAATTCCAATATGATGTGGTCACTCTCGTTCCAGTAAATTCAGCTCCCTCTATCACTTCTTCTCTATTAGTAAAAATTAGGTCCATACAGTTTTTTTCGCTAGTTTCCTCCTTTACCTTTTGGATGACAAAGTTGTCAACTAGGTTGGTTAGGAATCTGTTTGATCTCCCATTTGCTGCAAAGTTTGTCTCACAGTCGATATCCGGGTAGTTAAAGTCTCCCATTACTACTGTTAATTGATTAGCAAAGAGTTCATCTATTTCTTCTGCTTGGTTGGGTGGCCTGTGGTATACTCCTACAGCAATGTATTTTTTTCCCCTTTTATGTTGACCCATGTGGATTCTAGGAGGTTTTCATCCTTGGTTTTGTGGATTTCTGTAGAGATGAAGTGATCTTTTATATACAATGCAACTCCACCTCCTCTTTTGTTAGGTCTGTTTCTTTTGAATAGTTTGTATCCTTCCATTAGTACATTCCAGTCATGAGTTTGTTGGAGACTTTGTTCTTTGAAGAGAAATAGAGATTTCAACAGTTGGAAGGACCTTGGAGAAGATTTAGTCCAGTGCAAGGATCTACTACTACAAAATCCCCAACTGAAGACTGCCTGGCTACTAATTAAACACCAGTAAAGGAGATTCAAATGACTCTTTCCATTCAAATATCTTTTCTGATGTTCAAATTTCTTGCAGGCTTTCTTCTATGCCATAATTCTTATGTTCCTTCCTGCCATTTCTTGGTTCACCTGACCTCTTTGAATTCTAACCTTTATTTTTATGCCCAACTGCAAAGTCTACATAAACTGTAAAAATCCCTTTGGTACTTATTGGTATATCTGAAGCAAGAACAAGGGCTGGGTGTCATCAGATGCTGGACTTTCCAGAAGCATAAAATTGTAGAGTTGGAAAGACCATAATGATCATCTAGTCCAAGCCTCAGCAATATGTACAAAAACCAGTTAAATCATTATAGGGCCCCATTTTTCCCCAGTGGCCTCCACCATGGTTGAGGGGGGGAAACAAATTAGTGGCAGCCAATAACAGGGGCATCACATGGGGTCCCAGGTATAGGGGCCTGCGGAGAGAGGCTAAACCCAACTGGTACTTTGAGTGACCCCGTCAGGCCTCCTCCAGGTCAGTCTTTCAGGTGGCCTGAGGCTTGGGTCTCTCCTTTGGGTCTCTCCTGTGAGGTAGATCCTCCTTTTGAACCCCAAGGGAAGGACTCAGTTCCTAGGGAGGACATTTGAACCCCTCCTGTTACTCTAAGAAGGACAGGCCATTGCCCAGCGAGGCCCCACCATGTCCTTTGGAGCCATTTTGTCCCTTCTCAGAAAAGGTGAGAAATTAAATGTCTGTCAGAAGGTCTCTTGTGACCCAATTTTGAAGGCTTCCTCTCTCTTCTCTCTGACTTTACAGAAGACGTTGAAGCAAAAGTGAATGGCATTCTGGGAGAGTCTGTCACATTCCAAGTGAAGTCCTCTCTACCATTTAAATCAATTTCCTGGAGTAAAATTGCCAGCAGTAAATCTGAAACTATTGCTGTGGTGAGCTCTGGGGAGCCCTGTGGCCGTCTGGTCCCCGACCCAGCCTATGAAAAGCGAGTGACCATCCCTGAGGACTGCAAAGGATTAAATATCAGCCATCTCAGGAAAGAGGATGCTGGCAGATTCACAGCAGTCATTATTCCATCAGATGCAGAGAAGGTGGATGAGTCCTTTGATCTGCAAATATTCCGTAAGTATCCCACCCATCATGGCAGTAAATTCCTGGCCTTCCTCCTTTGCCCAGAGTGATATGGAGATGGGGGGGGGGTATTTGGGGGAATGGGATTGGTTTCCAGTTTCTGAAGAGACACACTTACTGGATGGAGCCTGGTGCCATCCATCCCACTTAAGTTAGTTAGTAAAGAAAGACTCCCAGGCCATTCATATGACCAAGAGTCTACTTTACTGGAGCAGAAGTGACTACAGAAGTAGCAGGATGGAGTCTGTTGCTTTGGTGCAAAACAAAAGATACAGTTCACTTTTCCTTTTTCCCAGGCCTCCCCCTTGTTATCAGTCATTGTCCAGGCAGAAGTATCACCATTGTTTGGGTAATGGACCTTCATTTCGCGCCTTCTCCATCTGCACATTCCTTTGGGTGACCTTGGGCTGTATGGGAAGGTCTCCTCCCCAGGCCAGTTCTGCTTGGGTTCTCAGCCCTCCCTTTCCCCCCACCCCATTCCAAACCTGTTCCCTCCCCCCATTCCAAAAATGTCAGCCTGGCAGGATGCGAAGTGATGCTAGCAGAATGGCAGCCATGAGTTTCGCACCTGCTGCTCCCTCCTTTTTAATCTCCCTTCAAATGGGCAGAATTTGGATTTTAAAAAAAATGCAGATATGAATATTAAATTGCAAACATATTAACCTGATAGCTTAAGCATGTTCTCATCAGGCCTAGTCTTGCTCACATTTGCCCTCCTCCCTCCCCAAATTCCCCCCTGTTCCCCCCTGCCCATCGTCTTCCATGCCTGGAGCTTTGACATATCTGAGGGTTTGCATTTCTGCAATGGGTTAGAATGGAGCTCAAGCCATGTCCTGCACACACTTCCTCTCTGGAAGGGGGCTTGGGGAGGTCCATCACAGCTCCCTCCAGGCTCTCTCTCCTTGGGGCTGGACTGGGCCAAGCCAAAAGTGGGTTCCCAGATGGAGAGGAGAGGAAGAGAGAAGCAGGTGGGCTTTGAGGCTGGAATCTCCAGAGAGGAGTTCAGGATATTCTTCATGGATCTGGTGGGACTGGCTGGACCCACAAACTCTTTGAGCCTCATCCTCTTCCCCTCAGTCCATGGTTTGGTGTAAAGAGGAATTGGGGGAAGGCAAAGGATGAGGGGTGCTTGCTCTCCACTATCTTGGGGGGCCTCTCCCTTCATAATCTGTCTCCCATGTAAGAAGGGGGATTGTTCTGAGATTGTTATTTGTGACAGAAACAGGTTAGAAGTATTTTCCCTGCTCTAACCTAAGCAAAACCATTGACTGAGCCTCTGCTGTTGTTATTCTCCTTCCTCCTTGGCCTCAATGTGATTTTGTGGTCTTCCACAATGTGATTTGTCTGTCTTCTTCTCAGGACGTTTGCTGGACTCTGAGATGAGAGTGACCTGCACTCCTGATGCAGCTGGAAATGGAACTTGGAAGCTGAATTGCTCTACAGGGACTTGGGAAGATGGGGTGAAATTCAGTTGGACCTCAGCTGTCCAAAGCAGGGATCTTCCCCACTGGAATTCTTCAATCCTCACCTCCCAAGATCTTAATCTCAATGTCACCTGCGCAGCAGAAAACCCGGTTAGCAAGGCATCCACAACAGTGTCCTTAAAGCAAGTTTGTGCTGGTAAGTTTTTCTCTTCTTGAAAGAGTCCATGGGACCAAAGATGAACCTGACATTTAGCTGGAAGAGAAGAAGTCCTACAGAAGGCAGAACTTCCCTGGGAAAGGGGTTGGGCTGCCACAACAAATCAGAAAAATAAGAATTCAGTGCAAACATACAAATTACAGCCATTAACCACCATCACCAATCATATTCCTTAAATCTATAATTCCTCTTTTTATGGAGGGGGAGGAATCTTCAATTGGCACTGGAAATCTTATTTGGCCCTCTAGATTTCCATTTCCATTGACCTCATACTTTGCAAGCAGCTGGTTGCTGAATTCCTCTGGTCTCTGAACCTACTCAGCACTCAGCTCTTCTGAGATTCCCAACCGAGGCACACCAGGTGCATCTTTCCCTTGTGGGTGAAGAAGTCCCACCTGCAAAGATTCATTTGGATGATTCTGTAAGCAAATCCCATACAGGCCATTTCTAAGCAAAAGAAATGCAGCCAATGGAATGCAGAACAAGCTTCCGGCCAAGCTGACCAATTAATTTGGGAGAATGTAGCCAAATTCCTTTGGTTTACCCTGATTGTAGGGTCCATGCGCAAGCAACCAGACCCACACGTATAGAGTTCAAGCTAGCAACTTTATTGTTCTCTGCCTATAATACAGGAATCTCCCCTGACTGGCAGCTTTCACCTGGGAAAGGACAGAGAAGGCTTCAGACCTTTGCCTTCTTGTGTTTTTGTAGTGAGTCACTCTAGGCTAATTCCCCACCTACGTCCCCCTCCCAACAGGGACAGTTGTTCTCCAACAGGGAAACCAAATCAGGGGGATTAGGAACCTGGAAGGATTGTCAAACAAGGAGTCAAAATTCCTCATTTGATTCTTTACTGGACAGATCTCTGGATGATGAGGCGACGATGACGCTGTACAGACATTCCAGTTATTGGGAGTATATGCTACCTAGTTAAATCTACTTCCAAAATTGCAAAGCTGTTGGATAGAAATATATTTTACAGTTTGGTAGAGAAGATGGTTTTACCTCAAGATAGCTAATGATGCATATGTCTCGTGTTTATTTTTTATTATTATTATTAGTCATATTTCTATGCCGCCCACTCTCCGAGGACTCTGGGCGGCTTATACCAAAGACAGTATACTAAATAGCATATTGCCCTCAACAATCTGGGTCCTCATTTTACCCACCTTAGAAGGATGGAGGGCTGAGTCAACCTTGAGCCAGTGAGATTTGATCCGCTGATCTGCTGAACTAGCAGTCAGCTGAAGTAGCTTCAGTACTGCACCCTAACCACTGCGCCACTTCGGCTCATTTAAAGTAAGAGTAAGAGTAAGAGTAAATTAATGCTTCAGGCTGCTGAGTGGCATTTGACTAATGCAGTTACTCCATTCATTTTGCAAGCCTTAACTCAGACACATGATAATGATCACATTGCATGCATTTCCTGCCCTACTTTTGCTCTCATTCTTCCTGTTTTCATTTGCGATTGTTTTGTGCTTGTAGTAAAGAATAGAGAAAAATGCTTTGACTGAGAAAATTATTGTAAAATTAACTAGGCCTAACGATATGCTTCAAGGAGGGTTAATTGGGTCTGGTGGCTGTTAATCGGATGGCTTCACCAAATCAGAGATGCACAATTTCTCACTGCCTGATCTCTGTTTCCTTTCTATCTGCTCTCTTGTACTTGCATTTTGTCCATCATGCTGAACCCCAGAGGAGAGACCTGGGACGGAGGCCCCCCAAGTGAACGGTGAGCTCCACCCCCTCCTTATAGCTTCCACCCTTCCTTGCCCCTCCCTCTTGGCAGTTTTCCAAAGGGTCCCCCTCCCCCAAAAAAGCACCTAATAGACCCATTCTTGAAGAGGGGGAGGAGGAACTAATGAGTCTCCTATACAGTTGAGGACTCAACTTACAACAGTTCCTTATTGATCATTCAAAGTTACAACTGAAAAAAGTGACTTATGACCATTTTACGCACTTACAATCTTTGCAGGTGAGGTGATCAAAATTCAGATGCTTGGCACCTGATCCTTTTTTATGATGGTCCCGGGGTCATGTGATCCCCTTTTGCAACCTTTTGACAAGCAAAGTCAATGGGGAATCCAGATTCACTTAACAACTAACTTAACAAGTTCAATGATTCACTTAATAACTATGACAAGAAAGGTCATAAAATGGGGCAAAACTCACTTAACAACTGTCTTGCTTACCAACAGAAATTTTGGCCTCAGTTGTGGTCCTAAGTCCAGGACCTGTAATTGCAATACTTTTCTGGAAAATGAAAATTGCTCTAAACAGAGGAGAATATTCGTAGCTCAGGTTGAACTGTGGGGTCCTTGGTGCTCCCTGAGCTTGGCTGTTTTCTTGCAGACTTTCCATTACTCAAATTAGGGAACACCATCAGCGCTAGCCCAAAACATCAATCAACGATTAAACAAAGAGAATCCAAAACCATCCAAAAGAATAAAGCTAATAGATGAAAAAACATAGGAATAAATATAGGGAGAGTTGTAAACGGTAAGAGCCATAAAGAGGAAAGTAACAATAGGACAATATGAACAATACAATTGGCCAAATTAGGGGAAATAATAATCACTTAACACACCCTTGGGTACCATTGAATCATTTTTCAGAATTATAACTCTTCACCCAAGCTGTAAGCTTTCTCTGTCCATTTCTGCTTGTTTTTATGTATGTGCTTATATGTGTTGTACTTAATAAAGTGTGTTATGTATGTTGCAGATTAATAAAACAGATGTGTTTATGTATGTTTATGTACATTAATAAAGCTATGTATAATATAAATTAATAATGCTGATGTGTTTTCGTATGTTGTAGATTAATAAAGCTGATATGTTTTTATATGTTGCAAATTAATAAAGCTGATGTGTTTCTGTTGTGACCCTCCAGTGGCCAGCAGAGCTGGCAGCAGACTCAGACAGTGAGGAGGTTGGGGAGGAACATGGGCCAGTCCTGGAGTCTGGGGAAGGCTCTGATGTGTCGGAGGCAGAGATGGGGCCAGGGCCGTCCGACAGTTATCAGTTACCTTTGGAGTTGGAGATAAGTGGGGCAGAAGAACAGCTGAAGCCTGTTCCTGACGTGTGTGCTTGCGCAGAGCTGCCAGGAGAAGGGAACAGCTAAGGAACAAGGGCCGACTCAGGAGTAAAGCCACAGGTGGACAGTGAATGGCCCCTCCCATAGGGAATAAAGAGGAGCAAAAGGGGAGTGGAGTTTGCAGGAGACAATTAGTTTGTTTATTAGTGTGAAGGGAAGGAGTGCAAGTAGTAGTGCAAGTAGTGCAAGGAGATAGCATATTGTTATTGAGAGACACTATTTAAGCTAACTATGTCTGGTTTGAGTTTACAGGTAATCCCCAAATTAAAACAGTTCACTTAGTGACCATTCAAAGTTTCAACCAAGACCCCCCCCTCCAAGTACTTAAGACCCAGTCCCGAAATTATGAATGTTGCAGCACCATGGCCGTGTTTCCCCGAAAATAAGCCCTAGTGAAGGAGGTGGGATGGCCAGCACAGGAGGCAGCCCAACCACGTGTCCCCTCACAAACATGGGCAGCGAAGCCTGAGGCGGTGCTTAGCATGGTGGCTCCTTCCCTTCCCCGGGCACCTCATGGGCGCTCGACCCCTTAATTGCAGCCCCACAGATCGGTTGAGCCAGTGAGGGCCAGGACCTGCATCACATTCTGTCTCTCTGGGTGCCTAGAGTTGTTTCTGGTGCACTCTCACCAGGCCCAGCCCTGCCTACAGCGCCAGGCAACCTCACAGCCGAGGGTCCCTCTCTTCCCCAGCCCACCTTTGTGGCTCTGGAGCAGGCAGCGACCACGATTTGTGCTCCACCAGGCCTGGAGCTCAGGTCTTGCTCAGGCTGCTGCTACAGTACCACAAGGCAGAAGATCACCTGCTCTCCCCTCCCCCCCCCCGTGCTTCTGCCCAGCTGCTGGACCTGCTGCACCTGCTGCTGTTGGCCTTGCAGGGGCTCTTCACTCTCTGTTGGCCACCCTGCTGGCCTGCTCCTGCCTTGTGCAGGGCAACTTGACCCAGACCTATGACCTCTGGAGCACCTCGCCCGCTTCAGGCTGTGCCCCTCCCCTGCCCTGTGCAAGATCCATGGCAGCCCTGCAGCGGGCTGGAGAAGGGAGGGGGAGATCGCTCCAGAGGTCATAGATCTGGGCCAAGTTGCCCCACACAAGGCAGGCACAGGCCAGCAGGGTGGCTGTGAGCAATGTGGCCAAGAGGGCGAAGAGCCCCCGCGAGATCAGCAGCAGCAGGTGCAGCAGGCCCAGCAGCCAGGCAGAGGTACGGGAACGGGGGAGCTGATCCTGATGCACTGCATGGCTGTTTGCCTCATCGTAGCAACCGCCTGAGCACGACCCGAACTCCAGTGTCCCAGGAGCAGCAGGGCCAGCAGACAGGGCAGGCGGAGGGCCGGGGAGCGCCAAGAGCTTGGACAGTTGTGGCCACAGGCAAGTAGATGGTGGGATGGAGGGTGGGGCCGCAGAAGCTGCACTGCCACTCCCATTGGCCCCCCACGCTCGCTACTTCCTGTAAGTGAAAAAAAATAAGACATCCCCGAAAATAAACCCTAGTACTTATTTTTGAGCCCAACAGAAAATAAAACCAGTTCTTATTTTTGGGAAAACACAGTACGAATGACAGCAGAAATGCTACAACATTCGCCCTGCCAGGTCTCCACAGCCATTAGACCTGTGGAGACTCACTTACCTTGCAATGATCTAGCAAGACCCCTTGGTCTTCCCCACCCTGAGATACCTCATGTGCAGTTAAACCCACCCCCACCCACCCCGATTAGCAAATGCGTGGGCGAAAGCAGGGAGTGATCGCAGTCAAGTTACGCAATTCACTCCTACGAATCCTCGGGTTACGAATGTAATTGGCAGGCTCCGTGACATTCGTAATTCGAGGACTACCTGTATTTCTTTATTTTTTGCTAGTTTATCTTTTCTCTCTACCAGCCAGATTCTGGCTCCCATAGAACATGTAGCAACCTGTGCACTCTCTGCTCCAACCCCCAGGTCTTCCAGGACAGAGAGTCAGAACGCCTGAAGGCAAAAGCATAAATTTAACAAACTAATAAAAAAAGAAATATTTAGACTTGACTTATCCCAATTAATGCAAGAGTTAGTTTTAGGCTGTGTCCACAGAGTTCATGAATCCTGGAAGTTTAGATAAGAAAACCCAGGGGCCACAATGCACACAGCCCCAAAAGCTGAACATTGCTGGGAGCTGCCACCCATTAATAAGAATAACAGAATAATAAATTTATAAAATTGTATAAATAATAAAATCCTGGAGTACCGGGGAACTACCAGAGGATTGGAAAAGAGCTGATGTGGTTCCCATCTTCAAAAAAGGGAAATAAATTACTCACTGTAATATTAAGGGAGTTTGAAAAAAAAGGCATGTTTTCAGCAGCTGCCAATTTAGCCCTCTGTCAAAACTCGGTCTTGATTTTGCATGAATGTTTTGTATTTGTGAGCTCAAACATCCCCTCCTTTAGTGGGTTGGACTAGAAGATCCCTAAGGTTCCTCCAATCTTATTTTTCCATATTCTATGGACACTTTTAGCTTTCTGGACTAGCCCTTTTCTAATCAGCTGATTAGGCAGCTCCCTTTGAACATTTATATTAAATCTTTCAGGGCATTGACTTAGTATTGTTTCAGAGGAACATTAAATTGTATTCAAAAGCAGGTAGTCCTCAATTTACACCATAGCGCAGCCTGCCCATTACGGTTGTGGGTCATGACAGCTACAAAGCAGATCATCACAACAGCAGACTCAATTTTACAACCTTTTTTGCAGCAGCCATTAATGAAGGCCATTTTATTTATTTATTTATTTATTTATTTATTTATTTATTTATTTATTTATTTATTTATCAAACTTATATGCCGCCCGTCTCCGAAAAGGACTCAGGGCGGCTCACAGCAATAAAACACATAAAATTCAATATTAAAATGTTAAAAACCATTAAAACTCCCCTTAAAACCCCTTCAGTCCAATCCGGCCTGGCGAAATAACCATGTTTGAGGTCACGGCGGCAAGAGCGAAGATCAGGGGCCATCCGTAGCCCCAGGGGGAATTGATTCCATAAGGTAGGTGTGCCCACAGAGAAAGCCCGTTCCCTAGGAATCGCCAACCGACACTGCCTGGCCGACGGCACCCCAAGGAGGCTCTCCCTGTGGGAACGCACCGGGCGATGGGGAGCTGTCATTGGCCGCATATTAACCAGACCCATTGTTCATTATAGGCATTTTTGCTGAAAACCAAAAGTAAAAAGTAATTTTCAGCAAAAATGTTGTAAATTGTGTCCATCACTCACTCCAAACAGCCATAAACGCCATCCGAGGAATCCGAACTCTTCCATAAGTCCCTGTCCAGGGTACTGAGGCAACTGCCTAAAACAGGGTTTTTCAACCTTGGCAACTTTAAGATCTGTGAACTTCAAGTCCCAGAATTCCTCATCCAAAGTGCACAACCACCAAACACAATTATTGCTTTCATAGGGTCAGTTAACAAATGTAAAGAAAGTGGTTAAAACTGCAGGCCTGTAGCTGCTTTGAGGTGATCCAACAGTAACTTTGTTCTCTTAATTATGTATTATTTTGAGGAGGCTGAAAAAAACTTGAAATGAATTGCACGATGTGAGTTTTAATGGCTGCTGGTGCTTATCTACCAATGTATTCCTATATATGGTATACAGAGATGATCTGGCAGTTTTTAGAGGCAGGATGAGGTTTGTTGTGATGTTGAGAAATGACTGTGTTGAGACATGTTACGTTGAGAAATAATTTAATTTTTAGTTTGACTTCCTGATGAGATATGCTATCCATGCAATATATCTAGTGATGAGCTTTGTAAATTATATTTATGTATTATTTATTAAATTCAGATGCTTGCCCGTCTTGCCAAGGCAACCAAGTAAATGGTTGAAATCATATGAAACTATTACAGTTAGTGAGTTACATCATGAAATCTAGTCCTTGGCTTAGGACAGGCGTTCAGCTCTCAAATCTTCTTTTGTGCAAGTTACACATCCCTCTCTTGCAACTCATGTCTTCCATTTAGTTCCATTTAGCCAGTCTTGGTCTAGTGGTGTGAAGGCACCAGGCTAGAAACTATGCGATCCTGAGTTCTAGTTCCACCCTGGCATGAAAACCAACCCAGTGACTTTGGGCCAATCACTAGAATACTGAGAGTTCTAGTTCCGCCTTAGGCATGACAGCTGGCTAAGTGGGCCAATCACCAAAAGATGATGAGTTCTAGTCCCAACTTGGCATGAAAGCTAGTAGGATGACTTTGGGCCAATCACCAGGAGACAGTCAGAGGAGAAGTATGGAGTATCAGATGCCTTCACCACCTTGAGTTATTTATCAGAATATTAAAGGCAGATTAACAAAATCTTCAAATAAATAAATAAATGACTGCAATCTCCGCCGAGCTCTTGTGCCTCTTGTGCACAAGGAGGAAGGAAATTAGATTATCCTGAAGCTATAAATAAAAGGCTGAAAGATATTCAATTGTTGCCCTGAATCTCTCAATGGCTCAAGGTTTTCTAAACATCTATCCAATAGGATAGGAAGCAATAGAGTTTCTGGGCAGGAACATTTGTAACCGGAAAAGATGCTGAAAAGGAGATTTTCAGCGATTGGGACAATATTCCTGCTTCAATTACATTGCAGAGTACATCTCCTTTTAAGCATCTTTTCCGGTTAAAAGTTCCATAGTTACGTCTCTTCAGCTCATGCTCCAGATGTAGAAGTACAGGGTCTCCTACCTGAGAAGCAGATTGGACTAGAAGACCTCCAAGGTCCCTTCCAGTTCTATTGTTCTATGTTCTAGGAGAGGACAGCCCCCAGGGGGAGAGCCTTCTCTGTGGGGGCACCTACTATCTGGAATGAGCTCCCCCCAGAGATACGGAGGATCCCGGATCTGCGCACCTTCCGCCGCGCCTTAAAGACCTTATTATTGCACCAGGCGGGCCTGGCCTAATTTTCTCTCTCTTTCATAAAAGATTTTCAATTTTTAAATATCTTTTAGTATCTTATATATTCAATTTTAAAATTGGTTTTAAACAGTTCGGGGTTTTAAATTTGTCGGAGCCAAAACTATTTAATTTGATTTTATTCTACTTTTAGAATAGGGCGGTATAGAAATCGAAATAATAAAATATTATTTTATTTTATAATAAAATAAATAAATAATAAAATAAATAATCCTGACACGGAAGGAAGAGAGAGTTAAGGCTGCGTTATTCTGGTGGATGATATCTTTCTGCTGTTGCCAGCTTAGCTGTGTCATTTGCAGGGAATTGTGGGTAGAGGAAAATTACCCCATGCAGGGAGTCCTCATTTAGCAACCACAATTGGAACCAGCAACTTGGTCGTTAAACAAAGCAGCTGCTAAACGAAACCACTTAACTGTGCTGATGATCTGACTTCAGTTTTTCTTCACTTTACAGACCTGCAAAGGACTGGTTATTTTTTCACCACTGTCACCACTGCAAACGGTCACTAATCGAGGACTACCTGTATAGGGAATAGATCTCCACAGGGTTTGTTAATGTTTGACCAGGGTTGACACAACCTCTGCTCTTTCTTTTGCAGAAAAGGTACTGTCTGCAAGCAATGCGTTGATTGGGGCCGTGATTGCAGTTATTATCGTCATTCTGCTTGTTGTTGTCATTGCCGTTTGTCTGTGGAGGAGGAAAGGTACAAGATATTTCTCAGCTGCACACCCCCTTGCAAAGCGCCCCCTCCACTGACCAGGTTCCCCACTCCTCTTCTTTCCTTCTCCCTCTATCCAAAAAGAGAAAAAAGCTGAACCAGAAAGTCACCCAGGCATCTGTGGGCCACCAGGTGGGCCCTCACCCCCCATCCCAGGGCACCGTCTACTTCTCCGTGGATGCTCCAGGGGTAGGAGGGCCCAACCATTTTAATCTGGGCTCTTCCTTGCAACCTTCAGGCCTCCAAGCCATCCTCTAACAGCCACCATGGTGCAGTGGTTAGAGTGCAGTACTGCAGGCTACTTCTGCTGACTACTGGCTGCCTGCAATTTGGCAGATCGAATCTCACCAGGCTCAAGGTTAACGCAGCCTTCCGTCCTTTCAAGATCCATAAAATGAGGAGCCAGATTGTTGGGGGCAATGTGCTGACTCTGTAAACTGCTTTGAGAGGGCTGCAAAAGCCCTGTGAAGCGGTATATAAGTCTAAGTGCTATTGCTCTTCCAAGGCTGGAAGAGAGAGCTCAGCCAACACACAACAAAAAGAGCAGAACTTGACTTTTTTGACTCCTCATGGTGCTATAAAAAAAGTTATGGGCAAAGAGAATCTCCTAGGAAGTCTCAGGAGTGTGCGGCACCCAAGGCTTCCCTACGGGGCAAAGAGAAAGGATTCCAGGGGCCCAACTTATCTCCCAGTTTCAGAGAGCGCAGCTTCTGCATCTGGTGGGAGATATCAGCAACCTCAAGAACTGCCTCTCTCTGCCTGGCCAAGAGCCATTTCCTCAGCATCCTCTGGTCCACCACCATCATTTGGACAGCTGCCGACTGGTGGGCTGGGCAGAGTGCCCCTTTGGCTTTCTACAGAACCTGCTGCTCAGCCGACGCCCCACTGCAAACTGGTAGGTGGGTTCTGGTAGGAGACCCATCTAGTACAACTGGAGATTCCAAATCTTTGCTGGATCTTTGCTACCTCAGACCCTGCCCTCTTCCCCGCCCGCCAACGCTTTTCGTAGGCTTCGCCAAGATTAGCCACAATTTATTTGCACACGCCCCAGCTTTGCACAAGATAGCAGCTGTGGCTCACAACTCACCCACTTCCTGCGTTTCACTTGGTTTCTTTTCTTTCCACAGCTGCTAAGGGAAGCGGACGATATGCAACACATGCAGGTAACGTTTCCCCCCCCCCCAGAGACTGCAAACACCTGCCACGTAAGATTGGAAGGTTTGCCCGCACACACAAACACAGAAAGACCACAAAGAGCAAAACAAAAATGGAACCCCCATAGCAAAGGGCAAGAGAATTGAGATGTTCAGGAGATCAATCGCCAGTGTGATACACACATTGCTAATTTTCAGGGGCTCCCAGATTTTGGAGTCTGGTGCACATTCAGGATGGTAAGAGCGTGCTCTGGGGGCCCGGCAGGATTGATCAAGTGAGACCCCAGAAAGAGTGCAGAGAAGAGCAACAAAGATGATTAGGGGACTGGAGGCTAAAACAGCTTAATATTCATTATTAAAACAAATGAGGAATGGTTGCAGGAATTGGGAATGTCTAGTCTAGTGAGGAGGACTAGGAGTGACATGATAGCAGTCTTCCAGTACTTGAGGGGTTCTCACAGAAAGAAGGGGTCAATCTATTTTCCAAACCACCTGAAGGCAGGACCAGAAGCAATAATGGAAATTAAATCAAAGAGAGAAGCAACCTAGAACAAAAGAGAAATTTCCTTACAGCGAGAACTATTAACCCGTAGAATGGCTTGCCTGCAGAGGTTGTGGCTGCTCCATCACTGGAGGCTTTTAAAAAGAGATTGGAAAGTCATTTGTCTGGAATGGTAGAGTTTCCTGCTGAACAGGGGGTTGGACTAGAAGACCTCCAAAGTCTCTTCCAACTCAGTTATCCCATAACACTCTTGCAACGAACCACTAAATCACAAGAGGGGAGAACAGCCCATCCATTCTGCAATTTCTCCTCTGAGAAAGCTGCAAAACCAGAATCGTTGTTAGAAGAAATGTTTCGAGATGCTTGAGGCAGTGCTCCTCACATTTTAAAAAAATGGATCAATTACAAAATTTAGAAGGACAGCGAGAAGGGGGCAAAGGAAAGGCAACACTAGCATGGTCTTTCACCTTCTGATACCACTTATTTCTTTCTTTTGATCTTAAATAAATTTGCTGCCCATCTCACCATGAGGCTGCTCAGGGCAGCTCACAACAGTAACACGGGGGGGGGGAGCCCAATAAAAATTGTCAATGCAACACCAGCAAAGCAATGCAACAATTAAAATAAATGACGGAATATGAATTAAAAGGTGGGCGGAGGGGGAGCAGGAAGTGCAGAGGGGAGCTGGGGTCAGCTAATTAATAATCGTGAAAATATATCCCAAGATTCATTTCAACAAATGAGGAGCGATGCTCAATTAGCTACATTTTTCTTCCTGCTGCAGGAGAAGCTGTCAAGCCAGCAGCCCACCAGTTCAGCTCCTGAAAATTGCTGGCTGGATTGGATTGGTTTTGGGAAGGGAGGAGGGATCAAGCACAGAGCTAGTCTAGAGTCATGGTGCAACCATAAAAGGCCAAAACCAGCCCTTCCTGAATTCCTTGGAGCCTTATCTAAGTGATCCCAAGGGAAAGCTGCCAGACTGGGGGGATTCCTGTATTATAGGCAGAATATAATGAAGTAGTTAGCTTACACCCTGCCCAGGTGAGTCTGGTTGTTCACGCCATTCTCCCTTCTGATTAAAGAGCCCCATGCAAATATGCAGAGCCCTTTCACTGTTGTTGAACCATGGATAATTGTCACTAATGACAAAGTTTTAATCACAGGCTATTGGGTTGTTGTTGTTTTTTCTCCCAATTATTTGGCAGGTGGTGCTACAAGTTCCTGAATGGGACAAGAGAGACTTTCTCCGTACCCGTCCTTCTTCCTCCATCCCTGCTTTCCCCAGGACTGGGAGCAGGGACAAGCATCTGGTTGCCCCAAATAAATAACAACAACAACTAGCCAAACTAAGAATTGCTTTTGTTCTGCCGCTTTCAAGCAGAGCTTGAATCATTCAGTGGGAGCTTATTTCCACTAAGCCAGGAGTGTCAAACTTGCATCGTCACATGGTTGTTACGTGACGTATCGTGACTTTTTCCCCCTTTGCTAAACCGGGGTTGGGCATGGCCAGCGTGTGATGCATCCGGCCCACTGGCTGCGAGTTTGACACCTCTGCACTAAACATACAGCCCTTCCTTCTTTCCCCCCTTCCTTTTCTCCTTTTTCCTTCCTTCTTTTCTCTTTTGCTTTCCTTCCTCCTCTTTCCCTCTCTCTTTTTCTGAACAAAAGGGAGAGTAGATGAACTACTTACTATGTAAGGCAGGGGTGTTAAACTCGATTTCATTGAGGGCCGCATTGGGGTTGTGTTTGACCTCGGGGGGCCAGGATGGGCACGGGCAGGCTGGGTGTGGCCAGCTTGATGTCACTCATGTGGCTCCTGAGCTCCGTTTCGGCTGCAACGGCCTCCTGCAACCCTCTGCCAGAGAAAACAGAGCTTGGGAGTGTCGCCTGTGGCCCTTGCAAGCTCCATTTTCGGCTGTGATGGCTTGGTTTTCGCTGGCAGAAACACTGCGGACCGGTTCTTCGCTGTTTCCAGGGCGGCCCCACAGGCCATATCTAAACACCCCATGGGCTGGATCCAGGCCCCAGGCCTTGAGTTTGACACCCCTGATGCAAGGAGGTGCATTAAAGCAAAATAAAAAAACTGACAAAACTAAGCGATGTGAAATGGGGGAGGGGAGTGAATACTATCAAAATGTTGGTATGGGTCTGTGTATGTGTGTGTCTTAGTGTGTTTATGATTAGCTTATGACACTGCATGCTGTACAATCCAATGTCATCTTGTTGGATGCAATAGCCAAGACAAATATTCCAAATCTGTCTTGTTGTGACTTCGTTTTGTGGGTTGATGTTGTGGGTCAGACCACTCTCTTCTGATGAAAACTCACACAGTCCTTGGATGCTTTTCTAGAAAGTTTGTACATATTTTGCCTTTGCAAGTTGTGCTTTGGAAAAAAGGAATTCAAAGGGCAGATAGACACACCCAGCATCCTCTCTGGAAGCACAACTCACAAGCACCACCTGGCTGGTGAAGGGTGGCCAGTGGGAAGGAGAAGGAAAGCGTCCTGTCTTCAGAAAAGACGTGGGGATTAACTTGGAGCAGAGAGAGGCATGACGGAACGGAGGAGAAAATGGGTCTTTTAAGAAAATACATTTACTGTCGAAAAACAGGGGGGAAAATTGCATTTTGAGGGGGTTGCAAAGCATTTCTGCCTGAACACAAAGCTATGGCTACATTTATAGCTGGAACATGTTTACATGTGTAAATGTCATTCCTCTTGTTCTTAAACAAGAAACACTGATGGGTTTAAAATAAGGCTGAGATCTCTTGGGTTTTTTGCTGATTGTTTCAGGCTTTGGAACGGGTCACAGGGAAATGTCTCATTTTATTTTGGATCCAAAGGATCAGACAGGATTTATAATTGTGTGGGTTGTTTGGTTTGGCTGTGTTGTTTTGTACAAAGTGGGGTTTGTTCTTTGTTACTAAATGTAGTATTCTTACTTTTGTTGTAAATGTCTTCTGTTGGTGAAGAGGCTTGTTTTCTTTGTGCTAACATGAAATAAAACATCTACTTGATTCAACTTGCATGACTAACTGACTGACTTGTGGCCCACTTAATGAAGTTTGCACACAATCATTAATGCTTATTAATGATTCCTCCACTTTCTGATGTTCAGCACCCTGTTTAAACCGAGCCCTTTAATTAAATTAATTGCCTGCTTCAGTGAATATAAACACAACAATTAACGTCGGCTCTATTCAGCATCGCTTGGGAGGGGGAGGCACTCTTTAGGAACAGAGAAATAAAAGGCCAGGCCAGAAGAAAGGAAAGGAAAGGAAATTATATTTTGACTGCTTAATTTTATTTCTTTATCTTGTCCTGAAAAGGATTGGCAGTTGTCAGCCCAAACAGTCACAGGGTCCATCTGGATAACGGTCACAATTTTTCTTTGCAGAGATTGAAAATCCACCTAGAAGTGATTCCACCTTAATAGCAGACCAGGCCAAGGTAAGTTCATAAGAATGTGAAACATAGAATCATAGGGCTGGAAGAGACCTTGGAGGTCTTCTAGTCCAACCCCCTCCTCACAAAGGTCTTCTAAAGCTTCTTGAATGAACCAAGGTGATCTATAGTTCAGGGTTCTCCAAACTTGGTCACTTTAAGACTTGTGGACTTCAACAAGCCTTGGTAGTACAGTGGTCTAAAGCACCCTGTTATTAAGACCAGCTGCCTGCAATTACTGCAGGGTTCGAATCTCGCCAGGCTCAAGGTTGACTCAGCCTTCCATCCTTTCTAAGGTAGGTAAATTGAGGACCCAGTTGTGGGGGCAATAAGCTGACTTTGTATAAATATACAAAAGGATGAAGGCTATTGCTTAACGCATTGTAAGCTGCCCTGAGTCTCCAGAGAAGGGCGGCATATAAATCAAATTTTTTTAAAAAAACTCCCAGAATTCCCCAGCCAGCCATGCTGTCTGAGAAATTGTGGGAGTTGAAGTCCACAAGTCTTAAAGTGGTCAAGTTTGGAGAACCCTGGACTAGTCCCTGGAAGTCCAAGTCACCCCCTTGAACTCACCTCCAGTTCCCTACTCAGCTCAGGTTCTTCTTGAATGTCACCAACTCAATCCCATGTCCTCCACAAGAGAAAGGAAGACCCCTTATGGGATGAAACCTGAAAAGGCCATCAGGTTTTCAAAATCGAGACTTCCTTAAGGCAGGTGATCTCAACTGCCAGGATTCTCAATCGGGGGTTCGTGTGCAGGGGAATCCTGGCAATTGAAATCCACACTTCCAGAAGACATCCATATGTGGGAAAGAAAGAATGCTCTTCTGAACAGAATAAAATGGGATTGTATGTTATGGGCTGCCTAGATTCTCTTTCTTTTGCTGACTTGAGGTCTTCTCAAAGGAGGATTTTACACCAGGCTCCTTAAAGAGCTCAAGGCCAGAAAGGGGGTGGAGGAATCAGATTTGGGGTGATGGGCACCCACTTGCTATGCGTTGGGATGCTGTCAGTGTTTTTTGAGGCGCTGTGGTTTTAAAGTTGTATTTTTTTTTCTTTTTTAAGTTTGAGCCGTGTTCAATTTTGTGACGCATATCCTACGGTAATTTTTTCTTAAAAGGAAAGAAATAACTGATAACTTTCAGATAACCTGGTAGGAAATGACACTTTTGCTTCTTTAAGAGAAAAAAATGTGTTAGCTTTTGATCTTACGGCAAATATACAATTAAAAATAAATCTCACTAAAATTACTCATAGTTTCTTCATTTTAAATTTTCCGAAAGGAAAACTCACAATCAATGAACTTTGAAGTAAAGCTGCTTGTCGGTCCAGCATTGAAATATATTACCGCTCCCGAAATCATTGGTGGCCCTTTGCCATAAAGAGGACTGTGGGGCTCACTCTGTAGCCACCCAAAGGGTTAGAGAGGCTGTGTGACTTTGAAAAATAAAGGAAAGAACAAAGAGTAAAGCCAAGTAAAAAATAAAGTAAAAAATAGAGTCGTTAGAGGTGAAAGTGAATGTAACAAACAAAGGTCATGTAAAGTAAAAAGTAAAATTAGGTAAGGTGAGTATAGTAAAGAATACAAAGTGAAAGTAAAAGTAAAAAAATAAAGATAAAAAGTAAAGTAAGGTAAAGTAAGGAGTATAATAAAAAGTAGAGGAGAAAATAAAAGTGAAAATAAAAAATAAAGGGTAAGGTAAAGAATAGTAAAAAGTAGAGTAGAAAGTAAAAGTAAAAGTAAAAATAAAGTTAAGGTAAAGAGTGTAGTAAAAAAGTAGAGTAGAAAGTGAAAGTAAAAATAAAAGTAAGGTAAAGTAAAAAGTAAACAGAGGTGAGTATAGTAAAGACTAGAAAGTGAAAGTAAAAATCAAGGAAAGGTAAAGTAAAGGGTATAGTAAAAACTAGAGTGAAAGTGAAAGAAAGGAAAATAAAGTAAAGTAAGGTAAGGTAAAATAAAGCTAGAAGAAAAGTAAGGTAAATTAAAGAGCAATGTAAAAAGTGAAAGCAAAAATGAAAGTAAAGCAAGGTAAGATATGGTAAAATAAATAACGAATGAAAAGCAAAAGTCAAATAAACAAAAAGGTTAAAAGTCAAGTAAAAAGTAAGGTAATGTACTAAAATAAAATATTTTACCTGTCCATGCAGGTACACACACACATACACATACACACACTGTAACCAGAGTCAGAAGAAGCAGTTCAGAATTGCTGAAAACTTGGCAGGTGACAATAAATACTTAACTTTCTCTCTCTTTTTTTAAAACTCCTAGGAATCCAGGAGAAAGACAAATCAGCCAGCTAGAAGAGCAGCAAAGAACAACCAGGAGATGCCTCACACCATTTATTCCGCTGTGCAGCATCCCAAGCAGGTGGGAAATATTTAATTATTGTATCTATTAAATTTATACGGCTGCCCAGTTCACACATAGATGACTCCGGGTGGCTTACAATTAAAGTGACCAGATTTTAACATTGGTAAAGCGGGACACCCACCATTTTGTGGGCATGGCTAGCTGGTCATGTGACTGGGTGGCCATGGCTATGTGTATAGAAAAAAATCATTTCTGACAGGTCCTCGCACTTTTGACTGGTCCTCACACTTATGACCATCCTCACATTTATGCCTGTGCAGCATTCTTAACAACCATGTCACTCATTTCACAACTGCTTCTCTTCACCATGGTGATAAGATAGGGCAAAAAACGTAAAATGTTAGGACAGTCGTAAGTTCGAGGACTGGTCAAAAGTGCGAGGACCAGTCAAAAATAACTTTTTCAGCCCTCTGAGTAGTCCATATGCATAAAAGGATACAGCAATAGAGAGGGATGAAGGGAAATTAGAGGAGGAGTGAGGGTAAGAGAGGGAGGAAGAGAGGAGGAGAAGGAGAAAGGAAGAAGAAGTAGGGAGGAGAAGAAGAGGGGGGGAAGAGAAAGTAAGAAGGAAAGAAAAGAGAGAGGTGGTAGGTTTGAGGAGAAAGATGGCTGTACAATAAAAAAGATGAAAGGGAAGAAAGCCAACCCCAAACAAATATAAAGATATTAAGATAAAGAATGAATTGTTAAACTTTAAAGAATAAAAGAGAACAAATATGAATAAATAGCAATAATTAGAAACACACATACAAACATACAATGTATTTTCTTTGAACAGAATATTTGGCTGGTTCACAAATTTAAACAGTGTTTAGTCATTTCAATTAAATTTACAATTTCTATATTTCCTTTTTGCCATATTTATTCCTCATCTATTTTTTAAAAAAACCAATATTACCCTTCATCCTCATCTCTAATCTTAATAAAATTCAATTTTTCCCTTCTATTCTATATTATACCCCTTCCCATTGTCATCTATTTTTATATCCATCCTCACATTAGTTAATTATGTAATTATGTAATACAGTTGTTTAATACAAATTCAACATTTTAATATAAATCAATTAGTTATATAACTATCTTTTTTGTATATTAATCAATATGAACATGAATATTCCAATTATTTCCATGCAATCCAATTTCTTACAAATCCATTAATTATATTTACCAATAATAATAAACCAAATAATTTCCCCCATATATTCCTCCAAACCACAGCTTAACCATTTCTGCTTTCAACACAATATACAATTAATAGTATCTCAATTATTACAATTCCCTAATTAAATAGAGCTTTTTTTCTTTTGTGTTTTAAAATCTTGAACTCTCCTCTTTTGCCCTAAATTTCCCATTGTTTGCAGTTTTGCACCTACCTTTTTTGGTGAGGAAAAAGAAAAAGAAATCTCTCTCTGCCTTATTTTGCCACGTTGCAGCAAAGACCCTGCTTTACTTTCAGTTTAGCTTTTAAAGCATAGTTAGGGGAAAAAATCTCCAGCACTCTGCAGCTAGCAACTACAGAGCCCTGAGCAAAACAGCTGAGAGCAAATCAGCTGAGAGTCGGGAAGCCGATCTAATCAACTTGTGCTAATTAACCTATACTGAAGCTTTAAGGCATCGGTCTACTCATTTGTTTTCTTTTAACACTGATCAGCTGTAGGGTGGCCCTTTGAAGCCCCACGGCAAGAGTTTAAACAGTTTTTTTCCCTCTAGCCATCAGCTGGGTCTCAGGAGGCAGCCGGGAGCAACCCACCACTGCGCCGTGCATTCTTTCCAAAAATCGGGACTTATTTAAAATGCCGCGGGACGCGGGACAAATTGTTCAAAAGCGGGACGTCTGGTCACCTTACTTACAATGTTAAAAGACACAGTGTAAAAGCTCCATCTCCATTCAGGGTCCCCCGGAGACCACCGATAACACCATATTTTTAGGGCCTTTCTGAAAAGCAACGGAACTGTAGCTATAGGACCGTGATGGTGAACCTATGGCACATGACCATGTGTGACCATGTGCATGCCAACCAGCTGATTTTTGGGCCTTCTGGGGCCACTGGAAGTAGGGAAACAGGCTGTTTCCTGCCTCCGGAGGGCCTGTGGGGGTGGGGAAGGCCCGTTTTTCTCTCTCCCCAGACTCCAGAGCATTTATAGGAGCTTGGGGAGGGCGAAAACAGCCTTCCCCACCCCCTGGAGGTCCTCCAGAGGCCGGAAACAGCCCATTTGCTGACTTTCAGTTCCACCAGAAGTGGGCTGTTTCTGGCTTCTGGGGGGGGGGTGGAGAAGGCCGTTTTTTGCCTTCCCTGGCTCCTAGAGAGGCTCTGGAGCCTGGGGAGAGCAAAAACGGCCTACCAGGCCCACTGTGCCAAAAGCTGGGGGAGCGAGGGTGTGTGTGTCATGCGCACATGCACAGGAGGTGGGGCACATAAAATTATGGGTGTGGGCGCACTCATGCGCGACATCCCCCCCACACTCACCTCGCTTTTGGCACGCGATGGCAAAAAGGTTAGTCATCACTGCTATAGGAGAATGATGTTCCATAGGCAAGGGGCAACACCGAGAAGGCCGTTTGTGATATTCCTACCAGGTGTACATCTGTAATTGATGAGACCCGTAACACGCCCTGACTTCCCATGGTGGTGGGACGGGTGGGCTTAACGGGGGAGAGGTGGATCTTCACTCCTTTCCATTTACAGCAGCCTTTTTGAACACTGGTCTCGGAATCCCAGCCATATGGGACTGGTAGTTCAAAGCATCCAGAGGGGCACCAAGTTGGAGGAGGCCGTGTTGGTAAAACACAGACACTCACTTCTCGAGACCGCAGGGAATAAATTGTGATTCAACCTAAACAGGGGTCTCTAAGCCTGGCAACTTTAAGACTTGTGGATTTAAATTCTGGGTGTTAACCCAGTATTCCCCAGCCAGCTATGACTTGAAGTCTATAGGTCTTAAAGCTGCCAAGTTTGCAACTACAAATTTAAATAGGATGGTACTTGGAGAAAAGAGAGCACAAACGATCCCTGCTATTTGTCCTCTGTTTTTTAAAAAGTGATAACAGTATTAACAGATTAACAGAGTTGGAAGGGACCTTGTAGGTCATCCAGTACAACCCACCCACCCCCTCCCAAGCAGGAGACCCTACCCCATTTCTGACAGATGGCCATCTTAGACGTTTGGATTTGGTGTTTATGGCCATTCGGGCTTCCCCTAATTGCTTCTGGTTTCGAAAAGGATTGTGCAAATTCTAAGAGTCCAATTTCCTGCCAGTGTGCTAAAAATGTACAATGCAAATTTTATATTTTTCAAAAAGGATGAAGCTGTGAATATGACCGTATATTTCTTCTTCAGAGGGAACAGTACATTTGCTAACCGTTCTGCAAAGCCACTCTGGGAAACTGGAAAACTTAAAAGGTTTATGGCCGTGATGGCACACATGCCAGAGGTGGCACACAGAGCCCTGTCTGTGGGCGGGCACGCCGTCACCAGTTGCTCTTCTGGTTTCATGCGTGCCAGCCACCTGGTCTTCGTGGGTGCCGGAGCATTGGAAAACAACCTGAAAATGGCCAAAACCCAAGCCATTTTTGGGGCCGTTTTCAGGCTGTTTTTCGGGCCATTTTTGGCCTGAAAAACAGCCTAAAAATGTCTGAAAAACAAAGACAGGCATGTGCACACTGGATAGCTGGTCTTTGGGTTTCCGGTGCTCCGGCGTGTGCACATGCACGCATATTCCAGTTTGGCCACTCAGTGCTGAAAAGGTTCTTCATCACTGGTTTATGGTGTCTAGAAATTCATACAAATTTGTGACCATTCATTCTACAACCGTTTGAAATTATGACAGCACTGAACAAAGAGACTTAAGACCCTTACCCAAAGTTACAACTGCTGCAGCATCACTGGGGTCACATGAACAAAATGTAGTCCTTTACAACCAACTGCAGGGATACTACAGTGGCCTCCCCGTGTCAGGGTTCCAAGTAACCCACCCATAGCAATCAAAACTCCGAGGCAGGTGGATTCCTCAAAGAAATAGATTTATTGGACATGTCATATTGGCACAACCTGGTGAAAACTGACTCTAAATGTTCCCACGGTTTTCACCTAATTAAAAGTAAACGTTCTTGTTGCTAGATGACTCCAGCCCCCTCCTTCTGGACACCTGGTGAGAATGTTCTTGGTTTCCAAGAGAAAGTATTTTATTTTGGCTACAGCACCCCAGCTCTCTCTACTGCCCTCTCCCTTTCCCACAGCTCCAGTTGGGGCAGTACTGAAGCCCCAAAATGGCCACAGCCAGATCAGCTTCAGGGTTGACACCCTGCTTATCAAGCCCTCATCCCACCCTGCTGTGTCCCTCCCCTCACACACACACACCCCGCCATCACAACTCAGTCCACTTACCTTTTCCATAGATCTCCTTCAGGAAGTAGCCACTGTGCCACACTGCCTTCCTACACAGAGGCCACATGGCACTCTTATTATTATAATAATTATAATTATTAGTTCAATTTATATGCCGCCTTTCTCCGGAGACTCAGGGCGGCTCTTCCAAAGTGGGCACCATTTTGGAAACAGTTTCAAAGAATCAATGCAATTGAATGGATGCAAGATGGCGCCACATGGCCGCCATATGGTATAGGGAAACCAAGGGACAAATCAGCCTGCTCTCCTTCCCAAAGTCGATCTCCAGGATCTCGCTGAACAATGGTCATGACTTAGAACAGCAACGGGTAGGCTCCATTATGGTCATAACTTGAGGACTACCTGTAGGGGCTAAAGATTTTCTAAATATGTTTTTGGGGAGGGCAAAGATTCAGTTTCTCCAAACTAATGCATTGTTTTTCATACCTGGAAACTTTAAGATGTGTGGACTTCAACTCCCACAATTCCCCAGCCAGCATACCTGACTAGGGAATTCTGGGAGTTGAAGTCCACACATCTTAAAGTTGATATGGTTGAGAAACATTGGGCTAACAACTTCTCTTTTGCAGAATCATTTACAAACAGATGATGAGAAGATACAGAAGGGACGGCGCCACCACCACCAAACCCAGGCAGAGAAAACAATTTATTCGGAGATCACCAAGTCTCAGGAGGCACGTGGCTTTCTTGGTTCTGCTTTTGACACCTCCATAGTCCAGTATACATTTCACCTCAATGAATCTAGTTACTGGGCTTCTGAATGGAAAACAATATTACAACTGTACTACATTCATACATCCTACTATAGCCAGTAGTATAATATACAATTAAAACTGTAAAAACATTTTAAAACAATTTTTTAAAAAAGCTAAATAAAAATATTTATGCAAAACAAATATGCGTAACAGCTGAGATACTTGGCCAGTTAATAACAAAGCCAAGAAATGGGGCCCTTAGCACGTCTGGTGCTTCTGATATAGGGCCTCCTGCCTTGAGCTTAGGGGTTAGCCTAGAAGACCTCCATGGCCCCTTCCCACTCTGTTATTCTGGATTCCTGTCCATTCTCATCTTCATTGCAGGAGGAAAACCAAACAGCTTTCCCACCCCCTCCCCATAATCCCTCTTTTTCCAGGTAGGTCTCAGCTCTCCAAATAACCGCTTCCTTGTCTTCTCCTTGGCAGAGTGAAGACCCAAACATCAAGACCATCTATGAAACAGTGCAAAACCCCCTGCCCGTCAAATCCTCTGGCCTGTGAGCCTTTGTTTAAGACACACACCCTCTGCAAAGCTAGCAAGAGATGCCCCCCCCCAGAGTTGGGGGGTGCCTGAGCCCCGTCTTCCAAAGGCAGCCTGGAGCACCTGCAGAGGACTCCACGCACGAGAGAGAGAGAAGTGGAGAAGACAAGACATGGGTCATTCCAGGATCGCCACCAACTTTCACTCCTGGACTTGCAAAGACCCAGCAGCTCGTCCTTCTGACTTGGGGAGTGGGATGCGACAACTCGCCACGGCCGACTAGCCACAGGACAATTCAACAAATACAAAGTTAAATTCATTTTGACGGAAGCACGGCCAATAATAATAAAAAAGCCAATCCAGAAAAAGGGGCCGTTAAACGACAAAGAAGAAGAGTCAATCCAGAAAAAACGAGAGTGACAAGAATTTCAACGAAAACTTGGTCACCAATAATAAAAGTAACTGAATGGAATGATTAATATAGAGTGTTGGATTGTCCCACGGTGACTTGGTTGTGGCGAGTTGTCCTAGACCCCTCAAGGAGGAGGGGGGGCAGAGAATAATTTCTTTCTTCTTTGTTTCGTAATTTTAAATGATGCACAAATGTGTGCATCCATTCCACTGTGAAGCCCTTTGAACTTTGCACTATTGTTTCACCAGCATTAAAAAAAAAAAGGCATTAAATGGGAAAATCTGCGTACAGATAGTCCTCGACTTATGACCAGCCTTTAGGATAGGTTACTCCAAGTTATGAACATGAGGTTATTCTAATTTTGAAGGTTCTACCCAGGGATACTTATGACGCAGTTCCAAAGTCATGTGACTGCAGGTCTGGGTTTTATGACATTTTTGCAAAATCCCAGCATTTACGTCTGGTTTTTGTCTCAGAGCAAAACTGTTGATTCACTTAATGACCACCATGAAAAAGGTCACAAGAGCAGGTCAGTTACACGGATGGGCTGTTTTAGAATTGTCACAAATTACAACTATGATGGGCAAGCTCCATTACTGTCGTAAGTCGAGGACGTATATCTATAAAATGTATAATTCTGTGAAATAATGTACAGAAGATTTATAGGAGGGAAGCTTGTCTCGGTAGATACTTTGTGTAAAAATGTGTTTTTTTAAAGGTAAATGGGCACCCCAATATTTATATATGGTATGAAGTGTTTGAGGGTTTTAGCGTCAAGTTAGAGGAATAAATGTCCTATGTCTATATGCCCTAGTTGACTTAAATATGAGCCAGCCGTGTGATCCAGCTGCCAAACTAGCCAGTGCAGTCCTGGTTGCATTAACAGAGGGATAGAATCAAGATCACAAGAAGTGCTAGTATCGCTTTATACCGCGCTGGTCAGACCACATGTGAAATATTGTGTCCAATACTGGTTACCCCAATAGAAAAAAGATGTGGAGACTGTAGAAAGGGTGCAGAGAAGAACAACAAAGATGATTAGGGGGCTGGAGGCTAAAACCTATGAAGAACGGTTGTGAGAAATAGGTATGTCTAGTCTAATAAAAGAAGAATTAGGGGTGACAGCCAGTTCTATCCAGTTTGGACAAACCAGTAACAGAGGTTGTGGGAGGCTCCGCCCACCCTCCCGGACGTCATCCTGTTTTTGATGCTCTGCACATCCGCGGAAGGGTCTGTGCATGTGCGGAGGTGGCACGAGCTCACATTTGCAAACCGGTAGCAAAGGTAAGTGAATACCACTCCTGGGTGACACGATATATTGTCCAATATCAAAGAAGAGGGGGTCAACCTATTCTCCAAAGCACCTGAAGGCAGGACAAGAAGTAATACGTGGAAACCTATCAAGGAGAGATCCGAGATGGAACTAAGGAGTAATTTCCTGGCAGTGCAGACAATTAATCAGTGGAATGGCTTTCCTTCAGAAGTTGTGGGTGCTCCAACACTGGAGGTTTTCAAGAAGAGATTGGACCACCATTTGTCTGAATGGTATAGGGTTTCCTGTTTGAGCAGGGGTTGGACTACAAGATCTCCAAGGTCCCTTCCAGCCCTAGGATTTTATGTGCACAACTGGAAAAATATTCTGAGTCCCAATATTCTGAGAAACAGGAAAATGGGATTGACCAATATTGAGAAATGTTGACAGAAGAGGTCATCCGTCGTCCTGTGATCCTGCATGAACAAAAAATGGGCCCCAGTAGACCAAACTAACACTTGGCCTGCAAACGTCATGCTTTAGGGAGAACAAAGGAGAAATTGACATGCTCAATCTTTGGGCTCATCTAGCATGAGGACCAGGGGTGGGATTCAGCCGGTTAAGACTGGTTCAGGAAAACCAGATGTTAATTTTAATCTGGTTCGCTGAACCGTATTTACAAGGACTGGCTGACCCCACCCACCCCTCCCCTCCCAGGAGTCTCCATGCGGCCCATTTTGGATGCGAGGTAAGTGCAGGGCCCATGCAGAGGCTCAGGGAGGGTGAAAAATGGGCCTACCGGAAGTCCAGAAATGGGCCTGTTTCCGGCCTCCAGAGGGCCTCTGGTGCCTGGGGGAGGCCATTTTTGCCCTCCCAGGGGCTCCAGGGAAGTCTCCAGAGTCTGGGGAGGGTGAAAAATGGGCCTACCAGAAGTACTGGAAGTCCAGAAACGGGGTCATTTCCAGTCTCCAGAGGGCCTCCAGAGCCCGGGGGAGGCTGTTTTCACCCTCCTAGAGGCTCAGGGAAAGCCTCCAGAGCCTGGGGAGGACGAACACACACACCCCTGCCGTGGTGCAGGAGGCTGAGTAGGTCATGGCCACGCCCACCCAGCAACTGGGCAGTGAACCGGTTGCTGAAATTTTTCAATCCCACCCCTGATCAGGACACTGTTTTTCGTCCAGTGTAGTCCACCAAAAATCCATTTTAAATGTTCAGAAACACCTGAACAACCTCTGACATTTCTTAAGAAATCAAAGATCTTTGGGGACTTCTATTCTCAGCTACTCCTCTAGGACAGTCTTTGTCAATTTTAGGAACTTTAGGAGGTGTGGACTTCAACTCCCAGAATTCCCTGAAGTTGTGGTCCATCCCTGAAAATTTTCAAGAAAAGAATTGGACAGCCACTTATCCAGAAGAGTCTGCACCCTACCCTACTCAGGGATCTGGGCTAGAAGACCTCCGAAGTCCCTCCCAATTCTACGGGTCTATGAAAATTTGGGGTGAGGGGAGGACAGTTGTAGGCTGGGCTTGGTAAATAGATTGGATGGGAGGCAGTGGTGAAATTCAAATTTTTTTACTACTGGTTTTGTGGGCGTGGCTTGGTGAGTGTGGCTTGGTTACTTTTGAAAGGATACTGCAAAATCTCCAGTCCCTCCCCACTCCTGCGGCCAGCCAGAGGTGGTATTTGCCGGTTCTCTGAACTACTCAAAATTTCCGCTACCAGTTCTCCAGAACCTGTCAGAACCTGCTGGATTTCACCCCTGATGGGAGGGTGGCTGTGGGATGGGGCCTGGGGGTAGGATTGTGGTGGGATTGAGAAGGGTTGGGGTTAGGGTCAAGCATGCTGGCTGAGAATTCTGGGAGTTGAAGTCTACCCATCTTAAACTTGTAAAACTTGAGAAACCTTGTTTCAAAAATTGACCCTGAGCTGCAGGGAGTCCATTTTTGGCTCTTGCTGTCGAAATCTGCAGTTTGAAGCCTTTGGGGGGGGGTAAGCTGAGTAGCTGACAAAATTTACCAAGTGGGTCAGCAGCTCTTCTTATCTAGCTACCTCCACCCAAAGACAAAGAGCCACACGCCCATCTGCACAGCTTTCCCTTCCTCTGTTTTTGCACCTGTGTTCTCTTTCCTCTTTCTTGTTCCTCCTTCCCTTGAGGGTGCAGGGTAGGGGAGGAGGACCTCCTGGTCTTGGGACCTCCACATTCTTCTCCACAAAGGAAACTGCCAGCAGGGGAGGGATTTTCAGCAGTGGGAAAGATTACGCCACCCCTTCCATCTCTTTCTTCCAAAGCTTAGAACATGAGAAGGTTTAGAACAGGAGTCTCCAACCTTAACAACTGTATGACTTGTGGACTTCAACTCCCAGAATTCAACTTCAACTCAGCATGGCTGGCTGAGGAATTCTGGGAGTTGAAGTCCAAACTCATAAAGTGGCCAAGGTTGGAGAGCCCTGGTTTAGAAGATGGGGAGAACCTGAGTGGCCTCCTTGGAAAGATGATCAATTGGGTGGACTGAGGAAGCACTTGGAACAGCTGAAAGAGGACTTCCCAGGTTCAGCAATGGAAGCTCAGCCTGGACGCAGCCGGGCGCCTGAGCCATTCTCTTCAACACAAAAGTACAAGAAGAGACATGCATTGTACAACTTTGTCTTAATCACCCTGTGATTTCTTCAGATCTTCTTGACTTCCTCCTGTGAAGAGGAAGCGAAGCCAGCCTTAAAGAGGAACTCTCTTGGTTCCTTCTGTCCCACCAGAGTTCCTGGTCAAGAAAAAACAGAGAGAGCATGTGGCTGCTTTGGATCGTGGCCCTCTTTCGTCTTGCAGGTGAGTTCTGGAGTCGGAAAGATTTCTGGGCAGAGAAGAGCCACGTTTCTGTTTCCTAAACTCTCGAAGGAACAGGACAAACACGTTGGGCGAGGTTGGCAGGAGGAGAGCTTGGGAATCCTCTCGGCTTCCCTCCCCATGTCCAAGAGGAACTTGAAGGGAGGAAGGGGTCCGGGGAGGGGGATTCCTGTCCCCAACCAAGAGCAGCAGAAGCAAAACCAAAAGAAAACCAGATTGTGTCAGTACAAGGACTCATTTCCAAAAACTGCATAGGTGGAGTAAACCACACTTTTTAGGGTGTCTAAAGAACTTCTCATGAGACATTCGAAAAAGAAACAATTAAAAACTGAACTAACTATGCCAACACTTTTCCTTCCCTCCAAATTTCCCCATTTGAATCAGCTCACAAAAGAGCTTTAAAAAAAAAAAATCAAAGAAAGTCCCAGATAAAAAAAAAATTAAGTGTTGAATTCATTTATGGCTTCATTTATGTTAAAGAGCCAGCAGCTGAACTTCCATCACATGCTAAGTTGGTTAGAATGAAGGTGGTTTCTGCCCTTTGGGGGGGGGGGCTAAGCCAGGTGTGCAAATCCAGCTTGTTTGGTTGGTTTAGAGACTGAATGGTCAGAAAATGGGTCTGAGATTAGTGAGTTGTCTGGCTGCTTATCCTTTCTGAGGATTCTGCAGAATTCTTCTTTCAGGCATTGGAGGGGTTGAAAGACCAGCAAAAGCTCCTGCTTCAGTCCTTTGCAATGTGTGAGAAAACTAATTAACAGGTAGTCCTCGGCTTACGGCCATAATGGAGCCCCTGTTTTGAACTTATGACGGACACATATATACCCCAATGGCCATGTGATCACATTTTGGGTGTTTAACAAGCGGCCTGCATTTATGACCGTTTATGACAGAATTCTGCAATAACAGGACTGTAATTTATGATGGGTTTTTTTGCTGGCAACTGGTGTTTCCTTCCGATTTCCAACAAAAAACACTCATTGGCTACAATGATCCACTTAATGACTGCAGCATCTGCTTAACGACCACCGCAAAAAAGGTTGTAAAATCTGGTGCAATCAAGAGTGGTGACTCAATGAACGACTATAATTCCAGGCTCAATTACAGTCGTAAATCAAGGACTATCTGTGATCAGCTATAATAATCAGAGGCTGTAACTGTTTGCAACTGAGTTCCAAACCATTTGGAAGAGGGGATGAGCGCTGGGCATTCAAACTACACAGGCACTGCCATCTTCAGAAGGGTAGGGTGGCAATTTTTTCACAACCCTGAAGTGGGCCACTTTGTGTGTCACACTCCCTCTGGGTGTGGGAATTGCACCATCAGTTCGGAGGCCTCCATCCCCAGGCCTCAGCCAGGTCTGGTTGCAGAAAAGGGGTCACACCAGGAGGTAAACAGGATTGGGGGCATCAGTATTTCTATGGGTATTTTGCCTGGCACCTCCATGGTCCTTAATTTAATTTAATTTAATTTAATTTAATTTAATTTAATTTAATTTAATTTAATTTAATAATTTAATTTAATTTAATTTAATTTAATTTAATTTAATTTAATAATTTAATTTAATTTAATTTAATTTAATTTAATTTAATTTAATTTAATTTAATTTAATTTAATTTAATTTAATTTAATTTAATTTAATTTAATTTAATTTAATTTAATTTAGAATAACAGAGTTGGAAGGAGAGCTATCTAGACCGAGGGTGGGCAATTGTGGCTCTTTTACAACCTGTGGACTTCAACTCCCAGAATTCCTGAGACAGCCAAGCTGTGTCAGGAATTCTGGGAGTTGAAGGCCACAGATTGTAAAAGAACCACAATTGCCCACCCCTGATCTAGACCAACCCCCTGCCTAGGCAGGAAACCCTACACCACTTCAGACAAATGGTTACCCAACATCTTCTTAAAAGCTTCCAGTGTTGGAGCATTTACAACTTCTGGAGAAAAATTGTTCCACTGATTAATTGTTCTTACTGTCAGGAAATTTCTCCTTAATTCTAGGTTGCTTCTCTCCTTGATTAGTTTCCACCCGTTGCTTCTTGTCCTGCCCTCAGATGCTTTGGAGAATAGCTTGCTTCCCTCTTCTTTGTGGCAGCCTCTGAGATATTGGAAGACGGCTATCCTGTCTCCCCTGGTCCTTCTTTTCATTCACAGACCCAATTCCTGCAACCGTTCTTCATATGTTTTAACCTCCAGTCCCCTCATCATCTTTCTTGCTCTTCTCTGCACTCTTTCTAGAGTCTCAACATCTTTTTTCAATATTCTATTTTATTTATTATTAATTGTGGTGCTTGGGAGAAAAATACCCTACCTTGAGATGGAGAGCATCTGGGGGGTGGGGGAGCAGCCTTTGTTAAAAATATGCAACATTTGCGGCATGTGGCAAATCATGGTTAGGAACAGATGACACGGTTTATCAGCCAAGGCTGGCTGTACAATCAGTTTGGGCTGATTTATTAAATGTTAGCTAGATAGCAGCATGTGTTAATATGCTTTCTTCATCTGGATATGTGAGATTTCAGTAGAATTGTATTTACAACTTTGGAACAACAATCAGGACCTCTGAAAAATAATGGAAAATGAAATTATTAAAAATTAGAGGGGAGATATTCTATTTCTTGAAGATCTTCGATATACATTGAAATACTAGCTGGACGCCTGTGCTTTGCTACAAAACTATGTGCTCAGGCTTGATAAATTGACGCTTGCAGCCTGAAATTTAATGTAGAATGTGTAACTCCGTGGCATCAGAGTGTTTTAATATCATGCAACTGCCAGTTGGAACAGAGGGGGAGGGGGAGTAGAATGTCCCAGCCCGCAGCATTCATCAGTATTCATCTGGCTAGCGTTCCTGTCAGTGTGTGAGAGAGTTGAGGGGTGTTTGGAAACTCAAACAGTATTTGCTGTGTGAGCAAGAAGGAGGCTGGGCATGGCTTAGCTCAACTGTTCTGTAGTAAAGCTGCTTGCTGCTGTGAAAGTAAAACTGAAAGTGAAACTCCTCTCCTCTGTTTGTGTTTTGCATTTGGAACAGATTTCTTTTGAAGTAGGGAGGGGGAGTAGAACTCCTTAGCATCAGAGCATGTTAATAATAATATAGAAAATACTAATGCAATACTAGATTATTGCAACGCGCTCTACATGGGGCTACCCTTGAAAAGTGTTCGGAGACTATAGTTGGTCCAGAACGCAGCCGCGCGAGCTGTCGTGGGTGCACCTAGGTACACCCACATTACATGAATTCTCCGCGAGCTGCACTGGCTCCCTATTGGTCTCCGGTCACAATTCAATGTGTTGGTTATTACCTTTAAAGCCCTACATGGCTCAGGGCCAGGTTATCTTCGAGACCGCCTTCTGCCGCATAGCTCCCAGCGACTGGTAAGATGCCACAGAGTTGGTCTCCTCTGGGCCCTGTCAGCTAAACAATGCCAACTGGCAGGCCCACGGGGGAGGGCCTTCTCTGTGGTTGCCCCGGCTCTCTGGAACCAGTTACCTCCTGAGGTCCGGACCATCCCCACCCTATTGGCCTTCCGAAAAGCGGTGAAGACCTGGCTTTTCCAGCAGGCCTGGGGCTGTTGATCTCGCTCTTGCAATCTGACGAGATCCGGCCATGAATGGTGTGAATGGGTTTTAATGTTTTTAATGTTTTAAATTTTTAAGTGTTTTTATAGTGATTTTTTGAGTTTATTGTGAGCCGCCCTGGGTCTTCGGAGAGGGGCGGCATATAAATTGAATAAATAAAATAAAAATAAATAAATAAATAAATAATGCTCTGATGGTCATTTTGAAAAATCATTTCTTAGTGAGAACTTAGAAGCGAAGAGGAACATATGTGGCAAATTTCAAGTTTGTAGGCTTTACGGTTCTGGAGATTTCGTGATTAATGCATGAGTGGTTTTCGTTTTTATATATAGAGATTTATTTATTTTTATTATTCCAGCCTTCCAAGGGGTGGAACATGATTCCAAAGAGGGAACCAAGAGGGCTCTGCAGGAATTTCAAGACGGGCTCACCTGGAACAAGACAGTGCTGGAAAATGAGACAAGCACCACTTGGAGATCAACGTGGGTGTTTAACACAACCGCTCCACCCCTGACCATGCAAACCAGCACTGACTACAAAGCCAGTAAGCCTCAAAAGGAGGGGAGGGAGGGAATACAAGTCCCAGACCCTTTTCTCTGTCCAGGCTGAAAATGGGACACGGGGGGGATATGTGGCCCCCGCACACCCCCTTTTGTCCGGCAGAGGCACCATGGGCCGATCCTTTGCTATTTCCAAGCTGGTCCCACGGGCCAGATTTAAGCACTCTGCAGACACCTGTGTACTAACTGTCCCCTCTCCTGGGCTCCCCCAAGGGAGGCTGACGGCCCCAACCATCATCGTCCGTGCCGAGAACGGGACCTGCCGGGCCCTCCTGAGATGTGCAGTGCCAGAAGAGGAAGCCGGCAACCTGAATTTCACCTGGCTCCAGGTCAACGGCAGCGTGGTTCTCTCCACAGCCCAGACGCTGAACATCACCCAGAAGCCTCAGCAGGGCACCCCGGATTACGTCTGCATTGTTCGCAGCCAAGCGGATGAACGTTCCAGCGTGGTTTCATTGAAGCAGCATTGCCAGGGTGAGCGCAGATTCTGGTACAAAATAAGGGGATGTTAAGGGACCAGAAGGTTTCACCCAGGGGTACGACAACGTTTCACCTTTGAAATTGTGAGGGCAAAACCTGGGCAGACTCACATCATGGCTGCTGCAGTAGCCGTGCCAGTCAAAAACATCCATTTAGAATGGCGAGACCCGGCTGGGGCTCGACAGAAGATGGAGGTTTATTATATCAGTATTTATAATTATGATTATGATATTTATAAATATTTATTACATGCATACATCGCTCATCTTACTACCCAAGGTGACTCGGGGGTAAATGCTCTTTGATGCTCCTTGTTCGTCTTCAAAGAACTCTGCAGATGTATCTGCCAACAGAAACCAACTAAAGCCCCCCAAAGCATCTTAAGTAAATCAAAGGACCCCAAGAAATAAAAGCAAAAATCCACAACCGACAGTGAAAGGACTGTAACAGCCACTATGCAGGACAGACAGCAGGGCACATCAGTGAACGCCTATTAGCAGTCAAAAGACACAAGGAAAACTCTTTAATCTCACAACACATGAAGAGACTCAACCATAGTCTCAACTGGGAAATTGTGCACATCTTAGATCAAAACCACGAGGGGCGTGATGGCAAACCAATAGCACGCATGCCCAAAGTGGCACATGAAAAAAATGTCGCCTGGCATGCACAGTCTTGCCTGTTTGTCTTCCAGGTTTCTGGTGTGGATGCGCATGCGACAATCAGCTGTCCACGTGCGTGGCACTGCTGAAAACTGGTGCGCGCATGTGCACCAGCCAGTTGATTGTCGGGCGCGCATATGCGCTAGAATCTGGAAGTTTGGCTTTTCCGGAGTGCGGCCCCAATGAACGTGCGTGCACGCAACGTTTCCGCACAACCTTTTCAGCACTCGAGGCCAAAAAGGTTCGTCATTACTGCACTAGGGAATTCCTAGAACAGGAGTGTCAACCTCAAGCACCAAGAGGTGCTTAGAGCTGGCCCACAGGGCCACCATGGAAACAGTGAAGGACCAGCCCACGGTGCCTCTACCAGCAAAAACAGAGCATTTTTGCTGGCAAAGGGCTGCAGGAGGCCATTGTGACCAAAAATGGGGCCCAGTGGCACACCTGAGCTCCATTTTCACTGGCAGAGGGCTGCAGGACACCGTCACAGCTGAAAATGGAGCTTAAGAGCCCATTTTTGCTGGCAGAGCACTCAGGCCACCACAGGTGCCCCCAACATGAGTGATGTCAAGCTGGCCACACCCACCCCAGCCCCTGAGGTCATACACAACCCTGATACAGCCCTCAATGATATTCAAATAAATCAACCATCAACAGACACATAGAGAAAAACCACATTTACACACCAGTGCAAAGAGACAATAAAAAAGCTAAGAAGGAACCATCAAACCAGAACACATCCTCTCCAGTAACCAACATCCAGTTAAGCAGGGATTAACCCCAGACAATCAATCAAATAGAAAACAATAACCTAATCAAGAAACTACTGAGAAAACCACACCCCACCAACCCTGGCAAGGCAAACTATTGTATATAAATAGGGAGCAAGCCCCACAACTGATGACGTTACCTCATTTGGTAACAAGATGTCTGCAAGAAAACAACCAAGCTCAGAGAGCACCATCTGTTTTTCTATTCCTGTTTCATTAAAATATTTGTTAACAAAAGCAGAAGATACAGAGCACCTGCCAGGCACCAAGACTGGCATTTAAGGCATCGCCATCTTCCTTTTCTAACGTGACGATGGTTTATGGCAAGAGATGTTTGCAATCCTGGGGGCCCATGGCACAGGAAAGAGGAAAGGAAGAAAATTCATTTGGTGTGACTCACCCAGGAAGACATCTTGAAAACATATAACCGCAGGTGTTGGAGTCAAGAGTTTGAGCACACAGAAGTTGAACTTGTAGACAACACAAAACATTTAGCAAAGATTAATGCTACAGTTAAGAAGACCAGATGTGGAGTTTGGGTTAATGTTGGTGGTACAATTGCTTGTCAATCCGATCATAGAATTGGAGGGAATTTAGAAGTTTCTAGTCCAGGGGTGTCAAACTCGATTTCATTGAGGGCCGCATCAGGGTTGTGTTTGACCTTGGAGGCCGGGGTGCCCATGGCCACGGCGGACGTGGACAGCTCCACATCACTCATGTCGGGGGCAGCTGTGCAGGCCCAAGTGCTCTGCCAGCAAAAACGGACTCCCGAGCTCTGTTTTCGCCTGCGACAGCCTCCTGCAACCCTCTGCCAGCGAAAACAGAGCTCAAGAGGGTCACCTGCGGCCTTCCCGAACTCTGTTTTCACTGGCAGAGGCACCCTGGGCCGGTCCTTTGCAGTTTCCAGGGCAGGCCCATGGGCCCAGATCCGGGCCCCGGGCCTGGAGTTTGACACCCCTGCTCTAGTCCAACATACACTGACGGTCTTACCTAGTTTGGGCAACAAAACTTCTGCAAGAAAACAGCCAAGTTCAGAGAGCACCACGGACCCTTCATTTTAACCCTGAGCTGCAAATATTCTTCTCCATCAGTCCAACTTCTGCCCAATGCAGGATTGACAAGGACTCTGTGATCATTCAGCCTCTGGTGAAAAACCTCACCACTTCCAGTGGCAGGTTGTTCCTCTGGTTAATGGCTTTTGAGGAAGTTGTGAAGACACCTGCCCGGGGTGTTGGAAGAGCATTCTTGCCTACTGTAGGAACAAATCTGTACTCTAGGCAGGTATCTGGGCTAGACTAGATGATCTCCAAAGTCTGTCCAACATATTATTCTATGATGAAATACACCCAGAGGTGGGCTGCTGGGGGTTCGCAGGGGTTCGGAAGACCCTCTAGATTCTGTACAGTTTGGAGAACCCGTAAATCCCACCCCTGGCTGGCCCTGGCCACCCCACCTTGCCCCTCCCAGGAGTCCCCACACAGCCCGTTTTGAATGCAGATAAGTGCAGGGCATGCGCAGAGGCTCAGGGAGAGCAAAAAACATGCCTACCGGAAGTTTGGAAAGTTCAGCCTCCAGAGGGCCTTCAGAGCCTGGGGAGGTCGTTTTCGCCCTCCTGGAGGCTCAAGGAAAGCCTCCGGAGCCTGGGGAGGGCAAAAACGCCTTCCCCCTGCCGTGGTGCAGGAGCCTGACTAGGCCACACCCACCATGGCCACGCCCACGCCCACCCAGCAACCAGGCAGAGAACCCCTGAATACAGCATGATACCAGAGTTATGTATTTTGGGGTGGCAACTCCTCCCATTGGGCGCACTGAGTGGGGCTGATGAGAGTTAAATCCTTACTCCAGCTTTCCCCAACCTGGTGGCCACCATTTGAGTTGGGTTTGCTAGCCTGGTGGGTCATTTTGAGCATGGGGGGTGGGGGGGAGTTGTCATAAATTATACTTCATAAAAATGTTTAAACCACTCAGCAATTTTGCTAGGAAAAAAAATAGGGGAAGGGTCTAATTGACTTTGCTTTTATTTTGGGTTCCTACAGATCCGCCTATCACCAGCAAATACCTCTCGGCATCTTTTTATGCTAAATATATCGTCCCACTTTTGATCGTTCTTGTGATCTTGCTGGTCCTCTTCTTAATGTATAGACGAAAAAGAGGGAGAGGTAAGACATGACTGTTTGTTTTTTTAGCAGGAAGGCTTATTTGCAAAATGGTTTATTATTCATTATTAAAACATAGGAAGTTGTTGTAGGAACTGGGTGTGTCTAGTCTAGTGAAAAGAAGGACTAGGGGTGCCATGATATTCCAGTATTTGAGGGGCTGCTGAGGACTCAGGCGAGGGGAGGGGGAGGGGCGGCGGTTATTAGGGAAAGTCTAGTGACTGCCCTGTACAATGACCACCACAGTTATAACCATGATGAATGATAATTTTGCAACCAGTTGTCACACTGATAACTTTTGCAGGCTGTAAAGCAAAGAAAAGCTGAAGTCAGATTGTAAGCACAATTGTGGTTTCACTTGCCAACCATTTCACTTAATGACAAAGTGGCTAGACTCAGTTCAGGTCATTAAGTGAGGACTCCTTGGACTACCACTGAAGAGAAAGTGGTTTGGTCAAAGTTTTCTTACAGGCAGATAAATTCTTCATGACTTCAGATCTCCAGGCAGAACTTTGGTTGAAGTTTCACAGCCCTCGTATCCCAATCCAAGGCAGGCAGGAGTAGCCAACGAATTAACCACCAGTCCTGGCCACAGGCAAGATGATGGGCAAGGGGTAGGGTACCCCGAATAATGCCTGCAGCAGATCCTCCAAAGAATTCATATCTCTTTTCTTTCCCGTCCAACAGAAATCCACAGCAGCATGGAGTCCATCAACGAGTCTTCAGGTACGTCATCTTCGTAGCCACGGCCCTCATCAAGAGCCACGGCTGGGCCACGTTCACATTTCTTGGGGGCCTAGATGGGAAACTGCTCTGGGCAGGAGTTTGTTTGTACTTTCATGTAGCAGCAAAGAACGCGTCAGGCACCATAAATCAGGAAGTCCAGGCAGCTCAAATGAATATATACAAGCTCAAGCTCTCAACAAGAATCTGGCCAACTAACAGTTCAAAGCAAATTGGCGGCAGATAAGAGTCAGCAGAACTCAAGGCGGACCTAACTTAGATCTCTTGTGAGCACGAAGGGACTCGAGACTGATGACTCCTTTGACTCCTCCCTCCCTCCCTCCCTTGGGCTCAGCCTGGTCATCTCCTGTATCAGAACTGTACATCAGAGCAGGGGGACCCAACCTTGCTGACTTTCAACTCCCAGCAGCCTCAGTCAGCACATGCAACGGTGGGGGACGCTGGGTGTTGTAGTTCTAACAGGTCTCTTTACGTGGAGCACCCATTCTCCATCCTGAGCATGAACGGCTTAATTCTCATTTCAGACTCCGACAACGAGGTGGGTCCTTCGGTGGAACAGATGGCAGAGGTCAGCTTCCTTCCCGAGGTAATCCAGTTATGCCGTATGGGGGGGTGGGAGCCCCATTTTCTTTCCCACTTTTGCCTGGTCCTCTGCATTGCCTGAGAACTAGAATCCTCGACTTACAACAAGTTGCTTAACAAGCAATCAAAGTTACATCAGATCTACCTTGGGGCTACTTACAACCCAGTTCCAGTGGTCAGGCCGTCTCCGCAATCATGTGACCGAAGTTCAGCTGTTCAATCAAAAGGGCACATTTATGGCTGTTTGCACCACCCCACGGTCACGTTTTATGGAGGTTTTGCCAAAACTGGTTCTTGGCCAGACCGTGCCCCTAGCTAATCATTGCTTTTGTTAACGACCACTGTTTTTGCTTAACGACCACTGCAAAAGTTGTAAAACCAGGTTGGTCCCACGAGCAACCCATTTTATGACCGTCCTGACATACAACCAAAACGGGCAGCCTCCATTACGGTCGTATTTTGAGGACTACCTGTAAGGATAGCTCATCTTCAGAGCAGAAATGGGGTGTTGCAGGAGGGATGGGGAGGGGCCTCCCGACTCCCCACCTTGACTGGATGGCTGCTTCCCCCAGGAGCCAGAAGCTGCAGGAATATTAGCAGCAGCAAATTCTGCCTTCCTTTGGCTATTTTGGCAGCCTTTGGAGATGAGAGTGGATAAAATCCAGGCGTTTTGGCTTTTGACTTTAAAATCCCACTGCTATAAGTCGACTCTTTTGCTCCAAAAGACCAACAACAATTGCTTGAGGTTTTAGACCAGGGCTCTCCAAGCGTGGCCCACTTTAAGACTAGTGGAGTTCAATTCCCAGAATTCCCCAGCCAGCACGCTGGGGAATTCTGGGAGTTGGTCCTCAAGTCTTAAAGTTGCCAAGGTTGAGAAATCCCTGCTTTAGAGCTACAGATGTGAATGTGGACCGATGAAAAGGATTTTGCTGTTTCTTGCAGGGCGTTAAACCTCTTCCTCAGAACAACACGTCCAACGCAGAAGCAGCCGTCAGCAACCAGGAAAAGGCCTCCGATACACCGAAGCAACTTCCAACTCAAGCATGATTTTTGCTTCCGATTCTGGGTCACTGCCTTCTCCCCCATGTTATGCAATGTTAAGGGTGGTGGGATGGGGGGCTGGCCACCCCAGTAAGAAGCCCTGGAATGCCCCCCCCCACAGGGGGAGGCACCTCCTGGCTTCCAAGACTGGCATCTTATTTCCAACTTCCCTGGTGCCAAAACCGGCACCAAAGGAGCCATTTTAGTCTTGCTTAGGTTCTCGGCAGTTTTAGCCAGACTCTCTATCTGGATAATTTCCAAGAATTGGAAGTGGAAAAGACCACACTTGGAATACTAGATCCAATTATTCTGGTCACCATGATACAAAAAAGAGGTTGAGACCCTGGAAAGAATGCCGAGAAGAGCAACAAAGATGATTAGGAGGCTGGAGGTTAAACCACACAATGAGCAATGTCCCCATATTTGAGGGGCTGCCCCAGAAAGGAGAAAGGGGGGTCAAGCTATTTTCCAAAGCACCCGAAGGCCAGACAAGGAAGAATGAATGGAAACTGACCAAGGGGAGATTCAACCTAGAAATAAGGAGAAATTTACTGACGGTGAGAACAATCAACCCATGGAACAGAAGTTGCCTTCAGAAGTTGTGGGAGCTTCATCCCTGGAGGCTTTCAAGAAGAGACTGGACTGCCATCTGTCAGAAATGGTGTAGGGTCTCCTGCTTGGATGGGGGTCAGACTAGATGACCTACAAGGTCCCGTCCAACTCTGTTAATCTGTAAAATCTGTAAACAATTGAGGGAACCAGGAATATCTACCATGACAAAGAGAAGGACTAGGAGTGACATAAGACAATCTTCCAATATTTGAGGGGCTATCACAGAGAAGAGGGGGTCAACCTATTCTCCAAAGCACCTGAAGGCAGAACAAGAAGCCATGGATGGAACATTATGAGAGATCCAATTTAAAATTAAGCGAGAAATTTCCTGATTGATGCAAATTTATCAATGGACCGGCTTGCCTTCAGAAGTTGTGGATGCTCCATTACTGGTTTTCAAGAAGAGATTGGACAGTCATTTGTCCAGAATGGCCTTGAGCATGGGGTTGGACTAGAAGACCTTCAAGGTCCCTTCTGACCCTATTATTCTATACCAGTGATGGCTAACCTGCATGTGTACGCAACCCCCCCACGACCCCTGTGAGGGGTGGGATTCAAAAATTTTAGCAACCTGCACCACGGCAGAGTGGGGGACATTTTCACCCTCCCTGGGCTCCGGAGGTTTTCCTCGAGCCTCTGGGAAGACGAAAACCGCCTCCCCTGAGCTCCGGAGGCCCTCTGGAGGCTGGAAACAGGCCCGTTTCTGGACTTCCCGAGAGGCCCGTTTTTCACCCTCTCCACTTCCGGAATGTGTGCACTGTTTCCACCTGCACTCCCCCTGCCCCCCTGCGAATGTGCACGCGACCCCCATGCATGTGCACCAGGGGTGGGTTATACTTATCTTTACTACCGGTTTGCAATGGGGCTGCGCATGCGCAATAGCATTTTCATGACGTCAGCGTCAGTGGGCGGAGCCTCCCACCAGTTTTACTACTGGTTCTATAGAACCTGTGCGAACCGGGGGCAACCCACCACTGATGTGCACGCATCTCTTGCATGCGTCCCAGCCCCTGCGCCTCCCAAAAATCAGCTGGCTGGCGGGAGGCAGGGTGAACATGAGTTGGGCGATGGCTCAGTTGACTGTAGAGAGGGCTCTGTGGGCCAGCTGTGGCACGCCTAGGTTGCCACAGCTGGTTGCTGTAGGATAGGTTCACCATCACGGTCCTATATTGTATGTTCCAAGTTGCATGCACCATATTATGAAGTTTCTGCTCTTTAAGTGGGAAGTGAAGTGAGTTGCCATTCTGGGCGTCTGAGGCCTTGTTCCACTCCCCTTTGATGTTGGGCATTTGTGTGAAACCACTCGTAGGAGTCCTTCACCAATTCTGAGTGATGTATCATCAGTCTGTAGGTGATACCCAGTTATCTAGGCCTATCATGGTTTGAATGGAAATCACCGTGGAAACCCCAACTGGGTCTCTAAAGGTTGTCATGGTCTGGATGAGTCAGACTCAGCAAGAGAGTGGCTACAAAATGGAATAAATAATCTTGAAATAGGAAAAAAGCAAAATGGAGAATGTAGTTTTGCAACCATTATAAAATGAACTGCAATATTTCAACATTGCAAAAAGGGGATGGAGAGAGAAATAGGTTTGCCCTATCTAACCTCTGGCTTCCAGAAACTTGCAAGAGAGATACCATCTATTTTATTTATTTATTTATTGGTTTGATTTATATGCCGCCCTTCTCCGGAGACTCAGGGCGGCTTACATTGCGTTAAGCAATAGCCTTCATACATTTTGTATATATTGTAGGGCTTTTGGCCCCCCCTAAGCGGTGTTCTTTTTAAACAAAGTCAGCTTATTGCCCCATCTCTTCTTTCTCTGGAGAAGCCAAAAGTTCTTACGGGAACATCAAAACCTGAGGAGCATCTCATGATATGTCTTGTCCTGTATTCCCACCATTGTGACGCCTGTCTTTCAGGGGCTAAAAATTCAGCTTGGTCAGCCTACTGTGGAAACCCCACCAGGGGGTAAAAAACAACTCCCGAATTGCAGTGGTTCCCTTGATTAAAGGTAAAGGTTCCCCTCGCACATACGTGCTAGTCGTTCCTGACTCTAGGGGGCAGTGCTCATCTGTTTCAAAGCTGAAGAGCCAGCGCTGTCCGAAGACGTCTCCGTGGTCATGTGGCCGGCATGACTCAATGCTAAAGGCGCACGGAACGCTGTTACCTTCCCACCAAAGGGGGTCCCTGTTTTCTCTACTTGCATTTTTACCTGCTTTCAAACTGCTAGGTTGGCAGAAGCTGGAATAAGTAACAGGAGCTCACCCCATTATGCAGCACTAGGGATTCAAACCGCTGAACTGCCAACCTTTCAATCGACAAGCTCAGCATCTTAGCCACTGAGCCACCGCATCCCTTGATAAGGAACAGACAAAATCTGACTAGGAAGTTGTGGTAATATTGTAATGTTGATAATATTGTTCTACTAACTAGAGCATACAAAACCTTTGCTAGACCAATTCTTGAATACAGCTCATCTGTCTGGAACCCACACTACATATTGGGCATTAATACAATTGAGCAAGTCCAAAGATATTTCAGGAGAAGAGTCCTCCACTCCTCTGCTTGCAACAGAATACCTTATGCCACCAGACTTCAAATTTTGGTCTTAGACAATTTAGAACTATGCCACCTTTGGTCTGATCTAAGCGTAGTACACTAAATTATCTGCTACAACATCCTACCTATCAATGACTACTTCAGCTTCAACCACAACAATACATGAGCACACAATAGATACAAACTTAAGGTAAACCGCTCCAAACTCAATTGCAGAAAATACGACTTCAACAACAGAGTGGTCAGTGCCTGGAATTCTCTACCTGACTCTGGTTTCTTCCCCAAACCCCCCAAAACTTTAACCTTAGATTGTCTACTGTTGACCTCACCCCATTCCTAAGAGATCTGTAAGGGGCATGCATAAGTGCACCAGCGTGCCTACCATCCCTGTCCTACTGTCCCCATTTATTCATATCAATTTCCTGTATTCATAATCATGTTTATACTTATATCTGTTACCTTATACATGCTTGACATATACATAAAAATAAAAATAAATAAATGCCAAGAAAATTTCCACTGGTGGAAGAAGAGTGTTCTGCCCCAACTACGGACCTCAAAGAACGCAGCACACACAAACTCTATACAAAGCTTATTTTACTCAAATAACTTAGTCTTTATCAACCAAAGGCTGTTAATAACTGTCTTAACAGCCTACCAGAATTCTAAGATAAGGTAATCACAGTCTTACTAGAGTTGGCAGAAAGCCCAGAAACAATTTTGCAGAGAATCCAGACACAAAGGAGATTGAACTAAAGTTGTTCCCTACAGCTTGCTGCAAGTGGCGTTCCTCCTTAAATAGGCTAAGGGAGTGCCCAATTAGCCCCACGCCTTACTCTCAAGAAGGCCTCCTCCTGAGGAGCCACTCCTGCCTTTTGGCAGCTCTGCGCACCGGTGCATTGAGAAGAGGCTCCTCCTCTTCGTCCTCTTCACTTAAAGGAGCTTCTGGAGGTTCTGAAGGCCCTGGCTGAATCCCTGCCTCTGGCACCACCTCTTCTCCAGTCTCCTCACTGTCCTACTTGAGCGCCAGCTGCACAGGCTGCTGGTGCACCACCACACCAGCCTCCTTGTTGTCAGAATCAGCTACAATCTGCACAGGCCGCTGACGGACCACAGCAAAGAGATGGATCAAAGGGACAGGAGGGAAATGAAGCCCACCTGGGATTCATGGCTGAGACACCTGGGGTGGGGACACCCATATTGTATTTAGGTATTTGTCAATCTGTTTCAAGTTTGGGGGTCCTTGGTGCTCTGTGAGCTTGGCTGCTTCCTTGCAGACATTTCATTACCCAATTGGGTAACATCACCAGCCTCCACTGTTTGAATGTTGGCATCCATGTTGACAAATTTCAATGGTTAAGCTTCAAGTAGCACTGATTATGTTACCTAGTTGGATAATAAAATGTCTGCCATAAAACAACTAAACTCAAAAAGTACCAAGGACACTAGAGTTGTCCTCCTCGTCTACCTCCTCCTCCTCCTCTGCAGACTCTACTTCCTTCTGGCATTGATGATGTTACCTAGTTGGGTCCTGAAACGTCTGCAGAGAAACCACCAGAGAGCCTCAAAGACCCCACAGTTCAACCCTCAGCTACAGATATTCTCTATTATTCGAAGCTTGACATCAATTTGTTATAAAATCTGGAGTAATGTTTAACCTATTGATTTATTATTGCCTCCAGTGTTAAAATTTAAGAGTTTGCCATCCCAAACAAAAGTACTACCATGTTTCCCCGAAAATAAGACAGGGTCTTATTTTCTTTTGAACTCCAAAATAGAGGCTTGGCCTTATTATCGGGGGGATCTTATTATTTTGGGGGTGCAGGAGGCTCGGGCAGCCTGCGCACTCACAGCTGGGAGTCCGGCAGAGACAGAATCCCTTTGTGCACCGTCATCAAGTCCCTCCCCTCCCACGGGGTGTGTGGAGAACGTGAGCACCAAGCCGCGTGAGTGCCTGTCCTCCCCCCCAGCTCACGCGCCTCCCAGGCCTCACCATGTCGATGGGCTCATAGCCAATGCCACCAGCACCCACGTGGAAGACACAGCCTGGGCCACCTCTCCCTGCAGGCTCACCAGAGAGTGGGAAGCACACTCCCAGAGCGGCCGCTGCCGACTGCGGCAGAGGCAGGGTTTGCGGGAGAGAAAGAAAGACTTCTGCGCCCAAACTCTGCCTCTGCGGCTTCCCAACCATAGCGCAGGCTGTGGATGTGGCGCCTGGGAGCGGGGAAGACAGCAGGCGGGCTGCTACCATGGAGCAGAAGCAGGCACACGAGGTTTACGGTTGGTGCCGCGGGGGGCGAAAGGAGTGGGGGGCACAGGAGTTTGCAGGGATGTGGCTGCCTTGGGAGGGTTGGGGGAGTGAGGGACCTATGTGGGTGGGCGAGGGGGGCTTATTTTCGGGGGAGGGCGTATATTTAGGCCTACCCCAAAAACAAAGCTTGGCCTTATTTTCAGGACACGTCTTATTTTCAGGAAAACACGGTAGCAGCTGAGTTTTTTTCCCCAATGATCCAGCTATTTATTCTGTAATGAATCCCTTATTGTAACTAAAGAAACACCAGGAGTTAAATTGCTTTAGATTAGATGTTCTTTGAATTGTGTTAATCCTTCAGTTTAACATCCTCTTGAGCTGAGAGTAAGCCATTAAATCTTCGCCCTCCAGGCTTAAAGGATCCTTAACACTTATGGGATTATGAGCCACTGAAACAAGAGGTGTGACTTTCACATCTCTAAACTTAGTTAACAGTGAGCTGCAAATCCAGTGCATGTCTAATTCAAGGGTTACTTTTATGAGCAGAAGAGCAATGATGACGTCCCTTTGTTGAAGGACCTTTATGGCTCCAAATCTCATAAGAAGGAAAATGGTGACATGCAATCTTGAACATTTTTTGGAAAGTTTGCTGGCGTTATCTTCAGACAAGAAACCCCATTCATTCCTCTGGACACCTGTCTTTACCATTTCCAAGAAGCTATTGGGAGGGAAATTGTAAAATGGTGTTTGATCATTTGGAAACTTGAGTTGAAGCTTGGCAAAAGCAACCCATTTAACAAGAGAAAAAAAAAAGATGGAAGGGACCCTTGGAGATCTTCTAGTCCAACCCCCTACTCAAGCAGGAGACCCTATGCCATCCCAAAGAAACAGTTCTCCCAATTTGGTGGACGACTCCTCTGTAGCCATGGATGCTTTCAATTCTAATAAAGACCAGGGACCATTCATTCCCCAACTGAATGAGCTCCCACACCCAGCCCTTCCTGAAAACATCACCAGGCCAGACAGAACAGAAATACCCAAAACTCCAAAAGATGTTTATTTTTAGAAAAAAATGTACAATTTTACTTCCTATTATTTATGAAAAAAACCCTCGACTAACATTGTTGTAATGCTTAGTACCACTGCAAACAGTAAAAACAAAATTTTATATATTAAAAAAAATTTACATTTTACAATTTTCTACATGCATGCACAAGGTTTCTCTGCTTTTTTTGGGGGGGGGAATGTCAGAAAATGATTTCCTAAATTTGGCATGTGTGTGTGTGTTTGAGCTAAGAAGAAAAGTGGCCTCTGCTTCAATAATACTTCCAGTCTGAGAGGGGAGGATGGTCTCTTGAACTCTTTTCTCCTACTAAACAACCAAGTCTTAAAATGACATGAAAATGGCAGTGAAGTTACTTCTCGGAAGCCAGGTCTGGATGTGCTTTCAAATTTAAGAGGATCAAGAGGAGTGGGGTACAAATACAAGACCCCCCCCTGCCCCCCCATGAGGATTAGAAAGTTTCTATGGAGTCCTTGATTTACGACTCATTTAAGTGACCAAAAAGTTACAACAGTGCTGCAGAACGACCGTATGACGGTCCCTGCACTTATGACCATTGCAGCACCATGTTCATGTAATCACAATCCAGGTTCTTGGCAACCAATTCACATATACAACTGTTGCAGCATCCTGAGGTCACATGATCCCCATTTGCAACCATCCCAGCCGGCTTCTGACCCAAACAAAATTGATGGGGAAGCTGGAAAGGAAGGTTGCAATTTGCAGTCATGGGATGCCTCCCTTATTTACAAATAGCAATCTGGTGAAAAATTTCATAAAAATTATGTGTGGCCACATGATGCCTCACTTAATGACAATTTTTTTCAATTGTGGTTGTAAGTCGAGGACTACCTGTACTTGTGTTTTTCCAAGTGCTGGGGGAAACTCTTATCCTGTTATCAACTTTTGTCATCTGACAGCCACCCCAAAATTCCTCTAAACCAGGGTGTCTAACAACCTAAACAACTTTTAAGACTTGTGGACTTCAACTCCCAGAATTCCCCAGCCAGCACAGCTCTAAACCAAGAAGCCACCATCCAAAATCAAGAATGGATCACTAGTGGATCCCATTAAGAATCTCCCTAAGAAACCGATCCCTTCTGTAGCTCTAAGATCTGGGTGCGAACTGCTTCTAAGCCCCTGCAATCCTCTGGATCAAATTAAGAGAGTTGGAAGGGACCTTGTAGGTCATCTAGTCCAACCCCCACCCCCACCCAAGCAGGAGACCCTACACCATTTCTAACAGATGGCAGCCCAGTCTCCTCTTGAGAGCTTCCAAGGATGAACTTCCGAAGGCAACTTCTGTTCTATTGGTTGATCGCTCTGTCAGAAAATTTCTCCTTATTTCCAGGTTGAATCTCTCTTTGGTCAGTTTCCATCCATTATTCCTTGTCTGGACTTCAGGTGCTTTGGAAAATAGCTTGACCCCCCTTCCTCCTCTCTGGGGCAGCCCCACAGAGCCTCACTAGACTAGCCATGCCCAGTTCCTGCAACCGTTCTTCGTATGTTTGAGCCTCCAGTCCCCTCATCATCCTGGTTGCTCTTCTCTGCACTTTTTCTGGAATCTCAACGTCTTTTTTATAGTGTGGTGACCAAAACTGGATGCAGGACTCTAGGTGTGGCCTTACTGAGGCTTTATAGAGTGGGATTAGGACCTCCCTTGATCTTGATTGTGTCCCTCTGTTAATGCAATTTAGGATTGCATTGGCTTTTTTGGCTGCCGCTGCACACGGCTGGCTCCTATTTAATTTAAGACTCCAAGAGTGAGGACAATTAACCAGTGGCACAGAAATTACCTTCAGAAATCCTGGGTGCTCCATCACTGGAGGTTTTTAACAAGAGACTGGACAGTCACTTATCTGCAATGGCATAGGCTGGGCTAGAAGACCTCCAAGTTCCCTTCCAGCATATTCTATCTCATTCAGCAGTGGGTCACAGACACAGCGCTGTTAAAGGCCGCAAAGGTGTAAGACCTCACCTGGTGGGCACCTGCTCAGAAGAACCAAGGCCAGCGTCTGCAAAACGACCAAGAGGGACTTTGGAGCCTTTAGCAGATTTGCTATGATATCTATTGGTAGTCCTCGACTTACGACAACAGTGGAGCCCAAAATTTCCATCGCTAAGACTGGGTTAAGTGAGTTGCGGCCGATATTACGACACCTTTGCTACCGTTGTTAAACCAACCACCACAGTCATTAAATAAATCAAGTGTTCATTAAGCAAATCTGGCTTCCTCCATTGGTTTTGCTGGTCGGGGGCCAGCTGGGAAGGCCACGAGTGGTGATCAGGACAGCACCGTGGACAGTGCAAGCGACATAAATGCATGCCAGTGGCCACGCGTCCCAATTCTGATCACATGACCATAGGGATGCTGCCCCTGTTGTGTAAAAGACGTAAGCCACTTATTACAACTAAACAAGTAGTTTTAAGTCGAGGACTACCTGTCCCGGAAACTTCTCTGCGAAGGAGATTGGGCCGGTCTCCCTCAGTTGCTCACTTTGGGGAAATGTTACGGCAGGAATAAAGAAAAGATATAAATATATAAATAGAATGCAAGCTCCGATGTCAGCGTTGGTTTATTTTTTTAAAAGGCATCCCTCTCCCGAAGCCAATGCCGTGATTTAAACTGGAATATTCTGATGAAGGTGTAAAGCAGGCGTCTCCAAACTTGGCAATTTTAAGACTTGTGGACTTTAAGACAAAGCTGGCTGAGGAACTCTGGGAGTTGAAGTCCACAAGTCTTAAAGTTGCCAAGTTTGGAGACCCCTGGTGTAAAAGGCTTTTAAGACCGTTTGGTTCAAGGCAAAACCGTCACTGCAATTTCAGAAGGTCCCTTACTATGGCCAGGTCCTCTCCCAAGAATTAGAATTATTTTAAAAATGTGAATCACAGTGATAATACCCAGAGGCCTCTCCACCCCAATCTTCACCCTTCAACGCAGGACCCCAAATGAGGTCAAGCAGCCCCAGCACCAGCTGAGCACCCTAACTGCAACCCCTATCAGATCTTCATCTGCAAAGTCCGACATTAAAAAAAAAAACACAAAAAACCCACATTAGATTAAATGGAAACCACTGTCGAGAAAAACCAGCAGAAAAACTGGTGACATTTTCTTTTTTAAAAAAAAAAAAAATTCTGAAAAATGAACTGCAAAAAAAAAAAAATCTTCTTAGGATCCCAACGACACTTTAAAGTAAGAGTTTCTCAACCTTCAGCCACTTTTAAGACAGGTGGAATTCTGGGAGTTGAAGTCCACCCATCTTAAAAGTGGCTATTGTTGAGAACACTGCCTCAAAATGACATCATCACTCTACTGGTGAGTGATTGGTCCTCAGCCAATCAGTAATTTGGGGGGTGGGAGGCGAACAGGAAAACCCTCTGCGAGCTGGCTTGTGTTGGGGGTGGGCCCTGACATTTAGGGAGGGTGGAAAGGCAAAATGCAGACAGGAATCTTCCAAAAGGAACAGCCGGATCTAATTTTTGCACGTGCAAAAGTCCTGCTGATTCAAAGGCAGGAAAGGGGTTCCTTGCTCACATCCCCCCATAACCCTCAACCCCCCCACACACACACCACCACCGCTTCACACCAAAGCTTGCTCAAACCACAGAGCAATGAGGAGTCCCCACCACCTTGTGGTCGAGTGAGTGACTCAGAGGAAACGTATTTACAACACAGTGGGCTTCTCTAAAAAGCACAGAGCTCTTGACAAAAAAGCCAGCCTCTTCTTAAAAATGTCCCACCCACCCACCCACCCACCCCCTCCCTGCCTTCGTTTTGTGATGGACCTGTTGAACTTCCAGCCAGCCCAAGACCTCCAGAGGTTGGAAGGATGGCTCCAGGGGGCTGGCTGGGTCCCTCTTCCCTTGGACCTCTGGGTCCTCCTGGGGGGATCCCCCCCAAACCTTGTGCAGTTGGACCTCAAGAGACCCAGGGAGACGACAACAGCACCCAGCGGCGTGGGTCGAGGTGGGGTGTGGGTCTGGAGGTGCAGGTGCCGGCGTGTAGCTTTGTAGAAAACGACATTCACAAGTTCCTTAGCCCGACCATGTCTGCAGATGCTGGTGAAGACAGAGTTAGCCCTTAGAATTTGGCACAGGTAACTTCCAGCAATTCATCAGGAGGGACGGAGGGACGGAGGGGTGATGCTGTCCTTGTCACCCACGCACCTCCTCAGTTCCTGGGGGGCTTGCTACAAGGGAGGAAGGGAGGGAAAGAGAAAGAGAAAGAAAGAGAGAAGGAGAATGGGGGGGGAGGGGGGGGGGAGGGGGGGAAGGAAGGAAGGAAGGAAGGAAGGAAGGAAGGAAGGAAGGAAGGAAGGAAGGAAGGAAGGAAGGAAGGAAGGAAGGAGGGGGGGGCCCTTGCCTTCCCCTCAGTTGGGGCCACAAAGGAGAGGGGGAAGGAGGGGGAAGCTCTGGCATGGAGAAGGTGAGGCAGGCGCCCCAAGAGGGTCTTCCACCGAGCCCAGGAACCCTCTCAAACCCGAGAGACGCAGGCTGGCGCCAGGCCATTGCCTCCTCCTGGCGGGGAACCGCCTTCCCTGGCATTCAAGCCCCTCGGCTCCGCCGTGGGTCACACCGAGGTCTCCGATTGCAGCCGCATGACAAACTTGTGCGATTTGGGGTCCACAAACTCCTCGGAGAGCTTAAAAAAGGGGATCTTTTTGGTGCTGACCACGAGGCTGAAGTCATGGCGCTTCAGGACAAAGACCACCCCGTCTTTCAGCCCATTGGTCACGGGCTCCTCGCTGACCAGAGTCCACTGCTTGGCCAGCCAGCGGTCCTTGTGGTACTGGATAGTGGGCCCTGCGGTCAGGTAGCGCTCCAGGAAGGCCTGCAAAGACGGACGGAGAGAAGAGCCGGTCAGCCTGACTTTAAGGGTAACAAACAGTGGTTTACGAGAAAAGTTTGCAATTCAAAGGGGTCATGCTAAACCAAAGTCTATTATTTCCAGGGTTCACATCCCCGAAAGTTGTAGCTTAACAAACTTTTTGAGTTGATAAAAGAACAGACTTACGGCTACAATGGAGCCCAAAATTTCTACTGCTAAGCGAGACAGTTAAGTGATTTTCCCCTCCATTTTATGACCTTTCTTTTCACAGTTGTTAAGTGAATCACTGCACTTGTTAAATCAGTAACCCAGTCGTTAAAGGGAATCGGGCTTCCCCATTAACTTTGCTTCTCAGAAGGTCACAAAAGGAGATCACAGGAACCCCGGGACACTGCGACCGTCATAAATATGAGTCGGTTGCCAAGCCTCCTAATTTTGATCACATTTTTTTTTAAATTTGATTTATATGCCGCCCTTCTCTTGAGACTCAGGGCGGCTTACAATGTGCTCAGTCACATGACCACTGGGAGTGCAATGGTCATTTTTTTCAGTGCCGTTCTGTAACTTTGAAAGGTCAATAAATGAACTGTTGTAAGTTGAGGATTACCTGTAATAGTAACACCAACAATATTATTTAAAATGAAGGACCTGCTAAGATCTGATTTATCAAATCGACTTGAGTTAAATATTATCCATTTAACGCTCTTTTGATTAGGTCCTTGGGCGCCCCCTGGTGGCGCTGTGGATTCCCTGGTGCCCGGGAGCACCCCGTTGCTAATCTCAGCCTTGGGTGGTCTTAAAACAGCGTGAGAGTTAAATCTGATACTGACTTTACAGCCGATACGAGGTCAACTACTTTAAAATATGTGTGCTCTATCTCTGGCTGAAATCTCCGTGCTGTCTGATAAAGTCAAATTTAATTTGAACAGATTCTTCCAGAAAATTTCTTGCACAGAATTGCCTTTTAAAATGCACAGAAGAATTCAGAAACCAGCCAAAATGAAATAAAGGTTAAGTCCTCAATTTACAACCACAATTGGGGCAGAAATTTCCACTGCTAAGCGATGCAGTCATTAAGTGATTGGTCAACCTGACCTCACCCAATTTTATGACCTTTTGGCCATGGTTGTTCAGTGAATTCAGCTCCCCATTAACTCTGCTTGTCAGAAGAACCCTGGGAAGGTCCAAATGGGGATTGTGTGACCGAGGGGACGCTGCAATAGTCGTTAAGTGAGGAGACTGGGCGTAAGTCACGGACTATTTGCCCCAACAGAAAGAAATTAAACCAAAAATAAGAAGCCAAAAATACTGACTCCGCAACAGTTCCAAATTCAGGACCGTTCACTATCCTATTCCATTTGAACCTCCATGTTCAAGAGCATTCGATCTCAGACTGTCAGATGGCACAAGGAATGATTTGAATTGATTTGAAAATCTGCCTCCTCCTCCCCCTCCTATCACTAAAGAAGCAAGGAGCACACCAGAACCTATCAAATACTCTTCTTTTTTGGAAGAAAACTCCAAAAAGCAATCCCCAAGATCAACTGGACCACAAGGGACCTTGTAGGTCATGTAGTCCAACCCCTCACCCAAGCAGGAGACCCTACATTTCTGACAGGTGGCAGTCCAGTCTCTTCTTGAAAGCCTCCAGTGATGAAGCTCCCACAACTTCCGAAGGCAACTTCTGTTCTCACTGTCAGGAAATTCCTCCTTATTTCCAGGTTGAATCTCTCCTTGATCAGTTTCCATCCGTTATTCCTTGTCTGGCCTTCAGGTGCTTTGGAGAATAGCTTGACCCCCTTCCTCCTCCCTGTGGCAGCCCCTCAAATACCGGAAGATGCTCTCCTGTCTCCCCTGGTCCTTCTCTTCCCTAGACTAGCCAGGCCCAGTTCCTGCAACCGTTCATCGTATGTTTGAGCCTCCAGTCCCCTCATCATCCTGGTTGCTCTTCTCTGCACTTTTTTAGAGTCTCAACGTCTTTTTTATAGTGTAACAACCAAAACTGGACGCAGGACTCTAGGTGTGGCCTTACTAAGACCTTATAAAGTGGTATTAGGACCTCCTTTGATCTTAATTGTATTTTCTTTTTTTATGCAAGGATCGATGCCAGTGAAAATCAAGTGGATGAAACCATATTTATTTTGGAATCCTACATCAACAGCACCATCAGGCACTGAGCCATCGGCCGGAGCGCGAAATAATCCCATCTTCTGATTTTTAAAGTCTGTTTTGTTTTGTTTTCATATAAAGATGAAAGCGGGAGATTTGTCCTTTCAGACTTGAAAGATTCTGTTTAATGTTTAATGCCTTACAATAAAGGTAGAATTAGCTTAACTGGGCGGGTTTCCTCTATGGCCTCCCTGGTGAAGGCTGACCGTCTTTCTGCAGAGTAATCCAACCAGAGCAGAGGACCTGCGATGGGAACCACCAGCTGCTCCCTGCAGTCCCGGTTCCCCCTCCCGTCCCCACCTCCCCCCTCGGCTACCTTGGGCGTCATGTCGTGGGTGATGCAGAACTCCAGATGCTGAAGGATGCTCTCCATGGTGTGGTACGGCTGCTGCTTGGTGGTGCGCAGGTACTTCTGCATGGCCCGGGCCATGGAGGCGAAGATGGCCTGGGCGGCCTCCCGGGGGTCCATGATCTCCCGCGGGTTCTTCTGGTCCTCTTCCTGGAGCCGCTTGATGTGTGTGAAGGCCTCCTCCACAGCCACCACCAACCTGCAGAGACGGGGACCTCGTCATAGCAAGCCACGATCTCCAAAGCATCCCCACCCTCACCTCAAGGACCAACCAGGATGGAGAAGAAGATGGAAATCCACCTTCGGCACAGACTAAGCTGCTCACCATGGCACACGCATTCACAAAATCCAATTTGAAGTTTTGCCAGCAGAGGGAAGAAGTAAAGGGCCCCCAAAACAAGAGGAAGAGAAGAATGAAGAGAGGAGGACAATCTTTCCCCTAACTTCTCTAACAGATTACCTGGACTTACTTCACCCTCCAATTTGCACCCCACCAGGATTTCCAGATTTGACAGTACAATGTGTATTTTTGCATTCTAATCTGCTTCCCGGGTGCTTACAACTGGGATGAGGAAAGCCCATTACAACTCTCCTAAGCTTGATGTTAATCCTATTACTCAGGACGGCAGCCTGCGTGAAGCTCAGAAGCAGAGCAGCCATTTCAGCCAAGGCTGAATCTGTTTTCCAAATGGATGAAAAGAGAATGTCTGCAGCTTAGCTTTGAACTGTAAAGTCATTGCTGCTCTCTAAGGTTGGTTGGGGTTTTTTTTGCAGACATTTCAATACCCAGCTAGGTAACATCATCAGTGGGAGAAGGAAGTGGGGCTTGTGGAGGAGGAGGACTGAGGGGTCCTTGGTGCTCTCTGAGCTTGGTTGTTTTCTTGTAGACATTTCATGACCCAACTAGGTACCATATTTTTCGGAGTATAAGACGCACCTTTTTCCCCCAAAAAAGAGGGTGAAAAATCTGGGTGCGTCTTATACTCCAAATGTAGCCCCGTCCAGCTTCTCAAATGGAGGTTTCAGAGGCTGAAAAAAGCATCAGAAACGAAGCTTCAGAAAAGAAGCCCCCAAACAGAGAGGCTTTTTTTCTGAAGCTCTGTTTCAGAAGCTTTCAGAGTCAGGAAAAAACGTTTTTTCTGAAACAGTTTTAGAAGTTTCAGAGGCTGAAAAAAAAAAGCAAGGCACAGAGCTTATAACCAACAAACCTGTTGCTAAAATTCACCTCTGGGAACAGCTGATTAGGGGTATTCCGGGAGGCTGAGCCACCCGCCAATCAGCTTTTTTCTTATTTTCCTCCCCAAAAATTAAGGTGCGCCTTATTTTATTTATTTATTTATTTTAATTAGATTTGTATGCTGCCCTATCTCCATAGGACTCAGGGCGGCTCACAACAATTAAGATATACAATCTCAATCCAAGTAAGAAACATGTTAAAATACATATTAAACGCATATTAAAATACATTAAAAATCAAAACCCCATCAGTCCAGGCTGGGCAATTTAAACAGCCATGTTTTTAGTTCGTGGCGGAAACTGCGAAGGTCAGGGGCCAACCGGAGCCCCCGGGGGAGTTGATTCCAAAGGGTGGGTGCACCCATAGAGAAAGCTCTACCTCTGGGGTCACCAGCCGACATTGTCTAGCCGACGGCACCCTGAGTGGGCCCTCCCTGTGAGAACGCACCGGGCGATGGGGAGCTGTTGCTGGTTTATTTATTTATTTATTTATTTATTATTTCTATTTCTATACCGCCCTTCTCCCGAAGGACTCAGGGCGGTGTACAGCCTATTTAAAAACACAAAAACAAAAACAACAGTTAAAATTTAAAATCATTAAATAATTAGGCTCCAATTAAAATCCCAGGAATTTAAAAATACCCCAATTTAAAACGTTATGTTAATAGCCCGGCCTGGCGGAACAACAGGGTCTTCAGAGCGCAGCGAAACACCCGGAGGTCGGAGATCTTACGTATTTCCGGGGCAGTTCATGGTTGCAGATGGTCCGACAGATATCCCGGGCCTAAGCCATGTAGGGCTTTATAGGTCATCACCAGCACCTTGAATCTCACCCGGAGGGCAACCGGCAGCCAATGCAAGTCACGCGGGAGAGGTGTAACATGGGAGTATCGGGACCCTCCCATCACAACCCGCGCGACAGCATTCTGCACCAGCTGAAGCCTCCGAGTGCTCTTCAAGGGCAGCCCCAAGTAGAGAGCATTGCAGTACTTATACTCCGAAAAATATGGTAACTTCATCAGTGCTAGCAGCAACCAGTCACTAGTTGGGTAAGGAAACGTCTGCAAGCAAAAAACCAAGGGCCCCCCAGTTTTCCAAATAATTCTAAAGCCGAAGCCAATTAACACTTGGAGTCATTGGATAAGAGACAGGCAGCAAATAAATTTCATAAAGAAATAAATGAGAAACCTCCAAAACCAATTCGGCCATTCCTTGAAAGCGGAGCTGATCCGAGGATTTTTCTCCCAAACCAACTCAAGAATTCACACAACCACAAGGGTCCGATTTCAGCCGCCAGGAATCCTCCCTCTGCGGGAACCTGAGCCTGTTTTTTTTCCCAGCTGGGAAAGACACCCATACGCACACGGTCCCTTTTGAGGGAACCCACCTGGCTCGCCGCTTTCGCACCCGGCGCTCATGTTCTGCTTCCTCGTAGTAGTACTCGTTGTGGCTATTGTCCCGCCTCCGGGCAGCTGCAGCGATAACAGCCCGCGATTGGCTGGTTGAGTTGTTGGTTGTGTTCTCTGGAGGGAGGAGAGAGGGAAGACCAATAGAGTTATTTTAAGGTTGTTTTTTTATTTTATAGACAAACAAACATTTAATACATCATTCCTTCCATGTGACATCTTGGTGTTTTCTCCATAACTTCATCTTTTTGTTGTTTCTTCTTCTTCATTATCACCCAATCTATTACAATGTATCTCCAAAAATACATAACTATTGATTTACTTATCTATATCTCTTTTCTAACCAATGATCCCATATCTTAAAGTATTCTAAATCCTCTCTTTCTTTAATCATCAAAGTTAATCTATTCATTTCTGCACAGTCTAAATTTTTTTTAATTACTTCTCCTTCCACAGGTATTTTCTCTGCTTTCCAATTTTGTGCAAAGACAATCCAATCCTTGCAGCTGTTATTACATGTATAATCAAATAGGTATTTTCTTTGCTAGTTTTCTCTGGAAGGATACCCAGTAGGAACAGCTCTGGTTTTAAATCAATACGTTGTTGTGTCATTTCTTCCAACCATGTCTTCATTTTATTCCAATAATTTTTAGCTTCTGGACCAACGGAGTTATTGAGGCGCCTCTCAAACCTCCTCAAAGTGGAGGATCATAAACACCATCAATCCAGCAGAGGGCTGGACTAGAAGACCTCTAAGGTCCCTTCCATCCTGATGACTCTAAAGGAAGAGTCTGTCTCTTCTATTCTTGGTGGGGAATAACATGCCTAGCAGTTGTCCCCATCCTTGCTGAAAAAGACAAGCAACCAAAAAAGAAAACCTGGGTCACCCTAGTCTCCATTTCATAGTCTAAATCAGCGTTTCTCAACCTTGGCAGCTTGAAGATTCACACAGTTGGAAGGGACCTTGTAGGTCATCTAGTCCGACCCCACCCTCCACTCCCATCCCGGTCCAAAGCAGGAGACCCTACACCATTTCTGAAAGATAGCAGTGCAAGATGTTTGGACTTCATCTCTCAGAATTCCCCAGCCAACTTTGATTCATGACCCACAACTGAGAATTAAACAATGCAAGTAGTTAATCAGGCATTTTCTCAGACACAAATTTACGACCATTTTACCACCGTCGTTAAGTGGTTCCCCCCACTGACTGTAGAGATTCTCAGTCATCTAGGTCATGGCTGTCCCAAAGGTGCTTTTTCAATTTGGGATGGATCCCCCTGGAATGAGGTGGGAGGAGGAATGGATTTCCAGAGGAAAAACTGCAGACTACAGGAACCATTTGCACCACTCAGGTGACCCTGAGGACACGGAGAGACCTCCAAGTGGCCTCAACGACCCTCTCAAAGGATGCAAATGGCCAGTTGTCTGCAAGGAATATCAATCCTTCTATTCCCCTCCATCCTAGTCAGAGTTGAAGAAGCTCCTTGGATAAGAAGCGAAACGTCTTCAAAAGAAAAAAACCAGAAAGTCCAGTTGGGATGATCCATTGACTTAAGCTTGTAGGAAACCTGCCAGGAAGATCACAAATCGCGATCATGTGACTACAAGGCACTGCAACTGCCCTAGACGTAAGCCGGTTTGCCAACTGCCCAAATGGTGATCACATGACTTGCAGGGGTGCTGCAACTGTCATAACTTTGAGGATGTGAGCTAAGTCGCTTTTTCTGAGGCCATCATATTTTCAAACCATTGTTAAACGAACGGTCGTAAGTCGAGACTTTAGCCCAGAGGTCTTCAAACTTGGCAGCTTTAAGACTTGTGGACTTCAACTCCCAGAATCCCAGACTTCGACTCCTATGCTGGCTGGAGAATTCTGGGAGTTGAAGTCCACAAGTCTTAAAGCTGCCAAGTTTGAAGACCTCTGCTTTAGCCCCACAGCATATGGATAAATCCCCAGGTGAACACCCAAAGAACCAGTCCATGTTTAATCTGGAAGGGGGGTGGGTGGAAGGAAGGACGGACATGGTGGCTGGGGAATTCTGGGAGTTAAAGTCCACACATCTTGAAGCTGCCAAGGTTGAGGTTTTCTGGTCTAAAGCAATCAAACAATTAACATTTCTACCCAGCTGGGGAGATCAGCTGCCCATCTAAGCTACCTTTTACACAAGAGAAGCAAGAACGCAGGAACCATGCTGGCACAGGCTGGCACCCTGGATTGGCATTCAGTCCTCACAGGCATCAGCACAGCCTGCCCCCAACCTGGCACCCCCTAAACAAGCTGAGATTGTCTCACTGGTAGCTGGGAACTCCGGAATTAGCATCGTCAGACATCTAGCGGGCGCCAGGCTTGGGATGTCAGCAGAATAACAGAGATGGAAGGGACTCTGGAGGTCTTCTAGTCCAACCTCCTCCTCTATACCATTTCAGACAAATGGCTGTCCAGTTTTTTAAGAAGCCTCCAGTGATGCACCCACAACCTCTGGAGAGAAGCTGTCCCAGGGGTTAATTCTTCTCACTGTTAAGGAAATTCCTCCTTAGTTCTAATAAGTTGCTTCTCTCCTTGATGTCTTCCCATCCGTTGCTTCTTGTCCTGCCTTCAGGTGCTTTGGAGAATACCGTGTTTCCCCCAAAATAAGACCCTGTCTTATATTTTTTGAACCCTGAAATAACCACTTGGCCTTATTTTTGGGGAGGTCTTATTATTTTGGGGCGCATGGAGCAAGATGTGACTCCTCTTGCCGTCTTACCTGATTTCCAACTCTATCTCCCTAACCCTAACCAGAGGAAATGGCGGGGACCGGCTGCACATACATTTAAATATTTTCGGGGAGGGCTTATTATCAGGGGAGGTCTTATTTTTGGGAAAACAGGGTAGGTTGAGCCCCTCTTCTTTGTGGCAGCCCCTCAGATATTAAAAGACTGGTATCGTATCACCCCGAGCCCAGTGGCGAAATCAATTTTTTTTTACTACCGGTTCTGTGGGCGTGGCTTGGTGGGCGTGGCAGGGGAAGGATATTGCAAAATCCCCATTCCCTCCCCACTCTGGGGCCAGCCAGAGGTAGTATTTGCTGGTTCTCCGAACTGCTCAAAATTTCTGCTACCGGTTCTCCAGAACCTGTCAGAACCTGCCCTGGCCCTTCTTTTCACCCAGTTCCTGTAACCATTTTTCGTATGTTTTAGAGTCGTAAATTTTTATTTTTATTTTTATTTTGTATTACGGAATACGGTATGCAGTATTCCAGGTGTGGCCTTCCAAGGCCTTATAAAGTGGTATTAACAACACTTCATGTGATCTTGACCCAGATCACGGTCACCCTGGTCCAAGAACCCAGCAATCAAGTTAGATCTCCAGGAGAACTGGTTGAAGCCTCTGCCTCTTGGAAGCCGAGCTTGAGAGCCGGAGGAAAGACAGTTCTTGGCTCCTGTGGACGGAGGATCAAAGCCGCCGCTTCAGAAGGGGCTGCCAACGCTTACCCTCGCCAAGCGAGTAGACCTTGAAGCCAGACATTTTCTTAGACAGAACCGACTTGGGCAGGTTGAGCAGAGCCGGGTTGTAGACGGGGAAATCGTGGTAATAATTCTCCAGGATCCACACGGCGACTCTCTGGATGCTGCAGAGAAGGAAGCGTTAGATCCAGTGTTAGTTGGACACAACAAGGTAACTGGAGCGATCACCGAAGGATCCAGTTACATAGCACAATACAGGTAATTCCCGGTTTACGAACGGTCCCTTAGTGAACATTCAAAGTTACATGATAAGTATCCCCTAGCATTTGCAAATAACTCCCGAAACTACAAATCTTGCAGCATCACGGCAGTTGTTTGCCCTTACAACCAACCGCAGAAGCTCTGCAACATTTGTCCTGCACGTTGCAGGCCGAAATGGAGCTTCCGAAGGGCAGATCCACCCCTCTGACCGGTGGTGAAATCCAAATTTTTTTACTACTGGTTCTGTGGGCATGGCTTGGTGGGCATGGCAGGGGAAGGATATTGCAAAATCTCCATTCCCTCCCCACTCTGGGGCCAGCCAGAGATGGTATTTGCCGGTTCTCCGAACTGCTCAAAATTTCCATTCCAGGTTCTCCAGAACCTGTCAGAACCTGCTGGATTTTACCCCTGCTCTGCGGCTAGAATGAAATGCATACATACTTATATTTCATAAATATTAATATTTGGAGCTAATGGAAGGGCTCTCCACTCATGCTCTCTACATGGGGCTCCCCTTGACGAGCAGCCGGAGGCTCCAGCTGGTCCAGGATGCGGCCGCGCAGGTGTTATGGGAGCGACGTGGCACTCCCATGTGACCCCCCTCCTGCGCGAGCTGCACTGGCTCCCAGTGGTCTTCCGGGTGCGCTTCAAGGTTTTGGTTACCACCTTTAGAGCGCTCCATGGCTTAGGACCGAGGTATTTACAAGACTGTCTTCTGCCACCAGTAGCCTCTCACCGACCAGTATGCTCCCATAGAGAGGGCCTCCTCAGGGTGCCGTCGGTCAGTGTTGACTGGCAGCCCCCAGGGGGAGAGCCTTCTCTGTAGGGGCACCCGCCATCTGGAATGAGCTCCCCCCGGAGATACGGAGGATCCCGGATCTGGGGGCTTTCCGCCGTGCCCTCAAAACATTCCTATTCCAGCAGGCTGGCCTGGCCTAACTTTTCTTTTAAACTGTTTTTTAAATTTTAAATTTGTCTTATAATTTGGGGTGTTTTAAATTTGTTTTCTGGGCCAAATTATTAAATTGTATTTTAAATGGGTTTTTAACATTTGTATTATATGTATTTTATCTTTTGGCTGTTCACCGGCCTGAGTCCTTCGGGAGTAGGGCGGTATATAAATTCAATAAATAATAAATAATAATAATAATGATGTGGTAAATTTCCCACTCTGTCACATGAAAATCTGAAAACTGGGAGATTTTTGCAGGCCATACACAGTATGTGGTCAGAAATGCCAAGGTGTGCTACAAACGTCCTCTAACGTAGAGGCAGAAACTTGATTGCCCAACTGTGACTGCCATTTTCACAACCACCTGTGGATGTGGCTGGACCAGGGGTGAAATCTAAAATTTGTTACTACCGATTCTGTGGGTGTGGCTTGGTAATGGGGGGGTAATGGGGGGGGGGGTAATGTGACTGCGTGGGCGTGGCCAACTTTTTTTTTTTTAACTTTTAAAAGCATTTTTTCTACAACCTTAAGAGGTTGCAGAAAAAATTGCTTTTAGAAGCTTCTGACGATCAGGCAACTCAGCTGGGATCGTCAGAGACTTTTCAAAGCATTTTTTCTACAGCCACTTCGGCTGAAGGGGTTGCAGAAAAAAATGCTTTGAAAAGCCTCTGATGATCCCACCTGAGCCACGCGATCATCAGAGGCTTTTTTTTTTTTTTACTTTTAAAAGCATTTTTTCGGCCGAAGAGGTTGTAGAAAAAATGCTTTTAAAAGTAAAAAAAACAGCCACTGATGATCGCGCAGCTCAGCTGGGCATTGGGGGGGGGGGGCACTCAGGGATTTTTGCTACCGGTTCTCCAAACCACCCACCACCATCGCTACCGGACCAGGTCCGAACCAGGAGCATTTCACCTTTGCCTCTGAAGTGCCGTTAGGCCTTCCGCAGGCCTCCCCTGGCACATTGCCAGCCGAAATACAGCCTCTGGGGGCTGGATCCAACCCTCCGATGCTCCATTCGGCCCCTGGCGGTGTTGTGACCTAGGCCCAAGTAGCTTTTACCAGACACGATCAGTCCTAAACAAACATATTTTATTAGAACAGCTGAGAATTACTTCATTCTCAGCTTTGTCCAAATTAAGTCCAAAACAAGTCCTTCATAAACAGTCCTTCGGCTTTATCACAAACCTTTGTCATCTTTGGCACCCTGCCAAAGGCTTTTCTTGGCAAAAGTTCAGAAACAAGAGAAGTAGACAAGAAACAAATGTAGCAATGTTGCTTTCCTACAAAGATCCCAAGAGGGGCCAATCATCTCCTGGCTTTACTCCCAAGTCGTCCTTTTTGCTTTAACTGCTCTTGCCTTCTGGCAGCTCTTTGCATGCGTGTACTAGGAACAGGCTCCTCCTGTTCCTCTCCCTTTCTGCTATCCGCCTCTGGAGGCTCCGGAAGCCGTGCATCGCTCCCAGATGGCCCTGGCCCCACCTCTGCCTCCGATGAAGAGCCCTCATCCGGGCCTTCCCCAGACTCCAGGACTGGCCCATTGTCCTCCCCAGCCTCCTCACTGTCTGACTCCGCTGCCAGCTCCGCAGGCTACTGGCGGACCACAACACACGGGTCTTCCCCAGCCTGTTGCAGGCCAAAATGGATCCACCCCTCTAGAAGCTTCATTTTGGCCTGCAACAGGCCAGGTGAGGCCAGCGGAGGCCTGCAGAGGGGCACACGGGATTGAACGGCTGGAGAGTGGACTGCTTGCTAGATCTTCACTAGGTAAGTGACCCAGCGTGGCAGGTTGGGGGGGGGAGAACAATTGTGGGGAGCATGAGGTATTTCAGTGGGTCGGGATGGCCTTGGGTGGTCTTACGCAGGTAGTCTGTTCCATCAGTAGCCCCTCCCCCCAACTAGGCCTTCCCCACCCTGAAATACCTCGTGTGCAATTAACGAGCCTCACATTCAATTAGTGAATGCATGGGCAAAAGGAGGGAGTGACCCCCTTCAAAGTAGGAGATTCACTCCCACAAATCCTCCGGTTACGAATGGAATGGGCAGGCTCCATTAGATTCGTAACTCGAGGACTATCTGTAAAGCAGAATCTGGCTCATTTGCTTTCAGCATGATCAGTTTAATGTCCCTTATTATGGCTCAGAGCTGGGCATGAAGGAGGCCACTTCAGCTTCTTCCACAAATGCAATGCAAATAACAACAATAACAAAAAAATAATCATCTCTGGATAGCAGACTTGGTAATACTGGAAACAGAAGGGAAAGAACTGGAGAAAATCACAAAATACCCAAAGACCTGCAAATACAGACAGTCCTCAACTTATGACCACAATTGAGCCCAAAATTTATTTAGCTAAGTGAGAAATTTGTTTAGTGAGTTTTGCCCCTTTTTACGACCTTTCTCACCACCTTTATTAAGCGGACCAGTGCAGTTTTTCAATGAACAACAAAATTGTTAAGTCCATTTGGCTTCCCCATTAATTTGGCTCACCAGAAGGTGCGCAAAAGAACATCACACGACCCCAGGACACTGCAACCATCATAAATGATCTCTGATGATCATTTATAGATAAATTTATAGATAGATGATCTCTGGAGGGCTCGGGACAGGGGCTGCTCCTCTGTTCTGGTCCTATTAGACCTCTCAGTGGCTTTTGATACCATCAACCATGGTATCATGCTGCACCAGTTGGAAGAGTTAGGGGTGGGGGGCACTGTGTTGTGGTGGTTCTCCTCCTTTCTCTCCGACCGGTGGCAGTCTGTGTTGGCAGGGGGGCAGAGGTCAACCTCAAGGCGCCTTGTTTGTGGGATGCCGCAGGGGTCGGTCCTCTCACCTCTCCTGTTCAACATTTATGTGAAGCCGCTGGGTGAGATCATCCGTAGTTTTGGGGTGCAGTGCCATCTGTATGCTGACAACACTCAGCTGTACATCTCCACCCCAGACCACCCCAATGATGCCCTTGAAGTGATGTCCCGGGGCCTGGAGGCCGTGCGGATCTGGATGGGGAGAAACAGGCTTCGACTCAAACCCTTCCAAGACCGACTGGCTGTGGTTGTCGGCGTCCCGATATAGCCAGCTGGTGCCATCGCTGGCTATTGGGGGCGAGTCATTGGCCCCCACAGAGAGGGCTCGCAACTTGGGTGTCCTCCTGGATGCACGGCTGTCTTTAGAAGAGCATGTGACGGCCGTGACCAGGGGGGCTTTTTATCAGGTTCGCCTGATACGCCAGCTGTGCCCCTATCTGGATCGGGACTCCTTATGCACGGTCACTCATGCCCTCATTACTTCCCGCCTGGACTACTACAATGCTCTCTACATGGGGCTCCCCTTGAGGAGCACCCGGAGGCTCCAGCTGGTCCAGAATGCGGCCACACGGGTGATTGTGGGGGCGACATGGTGCTCCCATGTAACACCTCTCCTGCGCGAGCTGCACTGGCTTCCGGTGGTCTTCGGGCGCGCTTCAAGGTATTGGTTCTCATCTTTAAAACGCTCCATGGCTTAGGGCCTGGATATCTACAAGACCACCTTCTGCCACCGATAACCTCTCACTGGCCAATACGCTCCCACAGAGAGGGTCTCCTCAGGGTGCCGTCGGCCAAGCAATGTCGACTGGCGGCCCCCAGGGGGAGAGCCTTCTCGTGGGGGCACCCGCCCTCTGGAACGAGCTACCCCCAGGGATACGACTGATCCCAGACCTCCATACTTTCTGCCGGGCCCTGAAGACTTTTCTATTTCAGCAAGCCAGGCTGGCTTAAAAGTTTTATGGGTAAGGGGTTTTAAATTGGGGGAGCCAAATTGATTTAATTATGTTTTAAATTATTTTAATTTTCATATTGTATGTATTTTAATCTTGGCTGTTCATCGCCCTGAGTCCTTCGGGAGAAGGGCGGTATAGAAATTTAATAAATAATAATAATAATAATAATAATAATAATAATAATAATAATAATAATAATAATAATAATAATAATAATAATAATAATAAAAAATGTGAGTCAGTTGCTAAGTATCAGAATGTAAATCAGGTGACCGTGGAGATGCCTCAACGGTCTCAAAGTGTGAAAAATGGTATTAAGTCTCTTTTTCCAGTGCTGTTGTAACTTGTCACTAAACGAACTGTTGTAAGTTGAGGACTACCTGTAGAACTAGAACGACTGGATGGCAGAAGCTAGTCGTAAGCATCTTGGGTTCTAATCCAGAAACCTCTGGAGGACCACTTGAGCACCATCGGCATTGACAAAATCCCCATCGCTCAATTGCAAGAGGCGGCTTCCATCAGCCGCCCCCGCCTGTCCCTGACCGCACCGAGATACCCCCAAGCCCCTCTGACCCTCCACCGCCCTTACCTGAGGTGCCCCACGTTGTAGAAGCGGCTGGCCCCATCGGTGGAGCGCACCACCTTGAGAGTGAAGTGGGGCTGGAGCTGGCGCAGCTCCAGTAAGACCACGGCCAGGTAGTGGACAAAGAGCAGGGCGTCCACCAGCGAGACGGCATACTGGACGATGCCCTGGTAGTTGGTGTCGCGGGAGTCCAGGATGCGAACGCCGTAGAAGAGCCAGTAGGAGGCCACCAGGAGGAAGACCAGCACCATCAGGAGAGCGCGGAAGACGAAGATGCGTGGCAGGAAGGCCTTGGGGCGGCGGAAGAAGAGCGCCCAGCTGCCCAGCAGAAGGATGAGCAGCTTGAAGGCCACCGAGATGAAGAGGCCCTCGCAGGGGGTCCCGCAGGGGCTCAGCTGCTCCCCCCACAGCAGCTGGGGCAGCAGCATGAACGCGATGGGGGTCAGGAAGGAGAGCAGGGCCAGGGCCCCCGCCAGCGAGACCCCCAGGTGGCGGGAACAGTCCAGGTGGGCGCTGTCCTCCATGTCCTTGGTGATGCGTGTGATGTCATCGTGAGAAATGCTGTGCTCCGATGTGCCGGTCACCACAGTGGTCGTCTCGCCCCAGTTGTCGTCCTGCCGGGAAACAAAGGCCACGTCGGGGGGTCAAAGGGGGTTTAGTGAAGTCGATAGTGAAAAAGAAGGGGAGTCTTCTGGACAGGAGAGCTGCCCTCTGCGGTTGCAAAGGATCTGTCCATGGCACCACGCAGGGACTCCAGCAGCCCTGCAGCCCCTCCAGTGGGCCTCTGTCCTCCCCCACCCCACAGTGGATGATGGAGAGATATGAGAGAGAGAGAGAGAATAGATAGGTGGGTGGGTGGATAAAAAATAGGATGGATGGATGTATGTAGAAATTGGATGGATGGATGGATGGACGGAAACAGACAAGCAGAATTCAACACCTCATAGACACAAGAAGTGCGGCCATTTGTCCTTCCTGCTTCCCCCCTTAAGCCATGCCGGAAATACCCCCATGTAGGGAAGCCTCCCCAAATTCCTCCAAGAGACCCTTTCATTTCATCCCTGGGGAGGCCCAACCCCCCCTTCCCCTCCCCCTCCCCCTTCCCCAGGAGGCAAGACCGAGCCTCCAAGCCGGCTCCAGGCCTGTCTGCCCACTCACCCTTTCGTCCCCTCGGGTCGACTCGTTGTCCAGCAGGGGCTCCCCGGGAGCCTGGATGGTGACCGATTTGTCCCCCCGGCTCCCATCTCGACTCTTGGAGCGGTGCCGCTCTCGGCGGTCTCTGTGGGGCAAGGGGGGGGTCCTGAGTGTTAGGGGGGGCTGGCTCAAGTCACAAGCATTGCAATACCCATCTTCTCCCTACCCAGCTGCTCCGTGGGAACCAGAAAGCAGGGATCTTGCACACAGGCAGTCCTCGACATACGACACTTTGTTTAGTGACTGTTTCGAAGTTACAACGGCACTGAAGGAGGTGACTTTTTCACAATTAATGACTACTGCAGCATCCCCACGGTCACGTGATCCAAATTCGGCTGCTTGGCAAGTAACTCATATTTGTGACGGTGGCAGTGTCCCGGGATCATGTAATCCCCTTTTGCGACCTTCGGACAAGCAAATTCAACGGGGAAGCCAGATTCACTTAACAACCATGTTATTTACTTGACAACTGGAATGATTCACTTAGCAACTGTTGTAAAAAAAAAAGGTTATAAAATGGGGCGGAACTCACTTATCAAGTGTCTCATTTAGCAACAGAAATTTAAGGCTCAATTGTGGTCATAAGTCGAGGACTACCTATCGTCCTATTTTACAGCCTCTGCCACAGGTTTTTTTTTTCCTCCTTTTCACCACCAGACAGCAAAAAGTCTTCCTTAAATTATCCACAAACACAGGATAAAAAGGGGGCTTGGGGGCATCCCTTGCATGGAGTCATACGGCAAAGAATTCGAATCCAGGACAACCGGGATTAAATGTCACACTAAACCCCAGGAGTCTCCAAACTGTAGAGCCATTGAACTGGCAATCAATCTCTTGAGCTTCACACCAGATCCGGCCATAAATCACAGGTCCTTAAGTCAGCCTTTCTGATTTACCGTATTTTTCAGACTATAAGACACACCTGATGAGATGCACCTAAATTTAGAAGAGGAAAACAACAACAAAAAGTTTTTAGCCTCTGTGCACCCCATTTTTTGGCCCTTTTTTGGGGCCCTTTTCTGGCCTTTTTTCAGCCTGTTTTCAGGGCTTTTATGGCTCATTTTTGAGGTTTTTTGGTCCGTTTGGGGGGCTTTTGGGCCTTTTTTTTTTTTTTTTTTTTTTTTTTTTTTTTTTTAAAAACCAGTGCTGTGGAGTCGGAGTTGAAGGAAATTTTGGGTACCTGGAGTCGGAGTCGGAAGTACAAAAAACTGAGGAGTTGGAGTCGGAACATTTATCTCCCGACTCCACAGCCCTGGAAAAAACGGGCTGAAAAAAGCCCCAAAAATGGGCCGAAAAAAGGCCCAAAAACTGGGCATGCGGAGGCCAAAGAAGAGCTGGCGGGTGGGTGGGGCTTTGGCAATATTCAGTCTATAAGACGCACAGACATTTTCATCCCCTTTTGGGAGACACAAAAGTGCATCTTATAGTCCAAAAAATACGGCAGATAAGGTTCCCAAATATAACGCCATTTGACTGGAATCCTTATTGCAGAGGAGCATGAAGCCTTCAGTGCCACAATCCATTGTCCAATTCGGCACAAAGAACTCACAACCTTTACACAAATCTATGCTCTGCAACCACCCATTTCTCAATCTCAGCAACGTTTAAGATGTAGGGACTTCAAATAGGGACCAGCAGGCAGAGGGATTCTGGGAACGGAAGTATTTTAAAGTTTTGGGAGACTGAAAAACACGCCCCTAGAGCTTAAATTCTAGGCTTCTTCCTTCTGCCCTCAAGAATTAACTGGTTCTTGGAGGGTCTCCGGGTGACCTGTGGGAAATGGGGGAAATGTCCAAACAGAATTAAGTTATATTGTCCCTTGGCTGAGGGCCACCAAATCCAGACTGCAGCGTTCCAGTCCATCACTAGGTGGCAGCACAGACTTCCAGTTCTCTGGCATCCAAATTTTGATTTTTTTAAAAAAAAAAAATTTTTAATTGAGTATTTTACATTTTAAAACCAAGCACACAATAGCGAAAGAAATCAAGAGACAAAAACAAAAAACAAAAACACACGTACACCAGACGTTAAAATATACTGCTCAAAAAAATAAAGGGAAGACAAGCAGAAGACATCCAAGATCTGAATGAATGAAATAGCTTTATTAAATCCTTTGTTCTTTACATACAGTAGTTTATGCACTGCTCAAACAACTAAAGGGAACACAAAACTACTGTATGTAACGAACAAAGTATTTAATAAGGCTATTTCATTCATTCAGACCTCCGGTGTCTTCTGCTTGTCTCCCCTTTATTTTTTTGAGCAGTGTACAACACTAACAACAGATATATACAATTTTACAACTTTCTGCATCGACTTTTGTCTTTACTCTTAGCTTTTATCCTCCCGCTCCTTCTCTTTATTTTTAAATATTCATAATTAACTGTTTTGTTAGCAGGATCATTATTTATATTTATATCCAGTATGTTAATATCTAATTTCACTTTATATTCTTATTTCTTAATTTGATTTCTGTTTTCCAACCATGTATAAAACCTATTCAACACTTTATAATAATCCAAGTCTTCTCTTTCTTTGATCTCCATCGTTAATTTATCCATTTCGGCGCAGATATGATAAATTCCCCAGCCTGTGAAGCTGCTGGCCATTCTAGCGTTAGCAAACAACACCCACAAAGGAGAATATTTGTCGCTCAGGGTTGAAACAAGAGGTCCCTGGTGCTCTCTGAGGGGTCCTTGGTTGTTTTCTTGCAGACTTTTCATGACCCAACCAGATAACATCACCGACTAGAACTGATGACGTTACCTAGTTGGGTCATGAAACGTCTGCAAGAAAACCGCTAAGGACCCCTCAGAGAGCACCAAGGACCCCCCAGTCCTCTTCCTCCTCCTCCTCCTCTCCGTATACCTTTCTCCCTTCCAGAGCTGATGATGCTACTTAGTTTGGGTAATGAAACATTAGCAAGAAAACAACCAAGCACAGAGATCACCAAGGACCCCTCGCAACAAACCATGTTTAACGGAAGAAAAGAATGCCCGAATGGGAAGGGATCTTGGAAGTCTTCTAGACCAGACCCCTGCTCAAGCAGAAGACCAGTGGTCACCAGAGGTCCAAAAATTTCAGAGGTCCACAGAAAAAATATTTGCAATTTTTTTATATTGCAATAAAATACTATTTATCTTCTTAGAAAATTCATATTAGTGATCCGCAGGATTTAAAAGTATGAATTTAGTGTTCCCTGAGGTCCAAAAAGTTGGTGACCATCCTGGACAAGTGACTGCCCAACCTTTTCTTGAAAATCTCCAGTGATGGAGCATCCACAACTCTTGAGATGAAAGCTAATCAATCTATCTTATCTATCTATCTATCTATCTATCTATCTATCTATCTATCTATCTATCTATCTATCTAATCTATTCATAGGGCAGAAGGGACCTTAGAGGTCTTCTAGTCCAACCCCCTGCTCAAGCAGAAGACCTGATACCATTTCAGACATGTGCCTGTCCAATCTCTTCTTCAAAACCTCCAGAGATGGAGCACCCACAACTTCTGGAGGCAAGGCATCCCATTTATATCAAGTTCCTTTCTGCCCACCTTTTGTCCCTTGCTGAACCTTCTACCGAGGTTCTCCAGATCTTTCCAGGACCGTCCCCGTGTTACCTCCTCCACCTGCCCCAAACTCAGCCCATCTGGCCAGCTCACCTGGGCTTCCTGGAACTGCGCGAGTGCCCCGATTTATAGGAGTACCCTGAATATTGCGATTCGTTGTCCATATTGTCTGAACGCCGAGCCTTGTAGCGATCCACGTTGATGGACTTGGATCTGGCGGGCCCTGGGACAGTCACCAAGGCAGCCGCGGCCTCCTTCAGAGTCGGCTTCTTTAGGCCGAGGGGCACCTTCAGAAAGTCAACTTTCACCTTGAAGGACTCTATTTTGATCGGCTGGCTGGGCACAACCTAGAAGAAAAGTGGCGCACCTGTATGGGGGGAAGGCAGAACAGGTTAGTCCCTCTCATCCTATCCACCAAAGAGTCCACCTGGAGCACACAAGACAACCTAAGAGGAGAAGAAGCTGAGGGACTAGGAGCTACGTTGATTTGGGGTTGCCAGTAGACCAGGGCTCTCCAACCTTGGCAACTTTACAGCCTGTGGACTTCAATTCCCAGAAATCCCCAGCATGCTGGCTGAGGGATTCTGGGAGTTGAAAGTTGCCAAGGTTGGAGAGCCCTGAAGTAGAACATCAGCCACTCAAGAAAGTGAAGATGAAGCCTTCTGCCCTGACACAACTAGCTTTCTCCATGCAGGGATTTCTAATCCACGCTTGGGGCACATAACAACTTCACACGCACACTTCCTGGAGAATGCAGGTAGTTCTCGACTTACAACCATTCATTTAGCAACCATTCAAAGTGAAAACAGTACAGGGGAAAAAGTGACTCACACTCACAACTGTTGCAACATCTCCAGAGTCACATGATCCTGGCAACCGGTATGCATTTACAACAGTTGCAATGTCCCCATCTGCCACCTTCTCAGCTGGCTTCCAACAAGCAAAAAGTCAATGGGGGAAGCCGGATTCGCTTAATGACTGTGTGACTCGCTTAACGACTGCAATGATTTGCTTAACAAGTCAAATGGCCAAAAGATCGTAAAATCAGGCACGATTGACTTAACAACCCCTTCACATAAAAACAGAAATTCTGGTCTCAAGTGTAGTCTATAAGTCAAGGACTACCTTAGCTGTGTGATGTGATTTCATTTCTCCAAAAACTGTGAACTTCAGGTAGTAATTTCTAACCATCTTTGGTTTCCTTTTCCTAACCCCCCTAAACCCCCACCCAATTGCTTTTCAGAAGGAAAACAGGAGATTTTCCCAGAATTCCCCTCTTCCAAAGACTCCTGCAGCTCCCTAGAAACAGAAGACGTGTCTGTGGAGATTCTCAAATCCTCGAGATCATGGTTGTCCCAAAGGTGCTTTTTCCAAAAGGCAGCTGGACTTTCTTGGATTTTTTTCCCCTTGAAAATGTGCAGATGTGCAGCTAGAATTGTATTTGCACAAAACTGGAAAAGTGAAGAGATCCCCATAGATGAAAATGTGATTAAGAAAATATTAGAATATGCAGAAATGAATAGATTAACACTTGCAATTCAAGGAAAGTAAGAATCAGATTATTATAATATATGGGGGTTATTTTATCAATGGTTAAAGAAATTTCAAAAATTTATTTAAAAAAGAAAAAAGAAAGAAAATGTTTCACTTCTCATCTGAGAAGCTTCTTTGGTTCTTTTTCTTCTTCAGCTTCACTTCAGAACTGAAGAAGCTTCTCAGATGAGAAGTGAAATGTTTTCTTTCCTTTTTTAAAGTTTAATATTTTTTTATTAAACATAAAAAATTCAATGTCTAGATAAATAGCGTGTTGTCTGGGTACAGTTAATCATTCTCTTATGCTTTTAAATTTCTAACTTCTGTTCCTGCCAGTTAACCATTGAGAAAACAAATCCCATCTTAAAAAGTATTCCGTTTCTTCCTTCTCCTTAATTTTAAGTGTTAATCTATCCATTTCTGCACTTTCTAATATTTTTTAATTACATTTTCCTCTGTAGGGATCTCTTCATTTTTCCCCTGTTCTATAAACACAATTCTAGCTGCTGTTAACACATGTAAAATTAAATATGTATTCCAGTGGTGAAATCTAAAATTTGTTACTACCGGTTCTGTGGGCGTGGCTTGGTGGGGGGGGAATGTGACTGGCTGGGCTTGGCCATTTTTTTTTTTTTTAACTTTTAAAACCATTTTTAATGGTTTTAAACCTCGGCAAAGAGGTTGTAAAAGAATGCTTTTAAAAACTTTTTTAAAAAGCCTCTGATGATTGTGTGGCTCAGCGGGGGGGGGGGGGGGTTGGGGGCGCAGGGATTTTTACTACCGGTTCTCTGAACCACCCACCTCCATCGCTACCGGATTGGGCGATCCGGTCCGAACCGGGAGCATTTCACCCCTGATGTATGCCCTTTATTGTATTTTTCTGGTAAGATACCCAGCAAGAATATTTCGGGCATTAGATCTATGTGCTGCTCTACCATTTTTTCCAACCATGCATATATTTTTGTCCAATATTTTTTTGCCTTTGGGCATGTCCACCACATATGATAATGCGAAGCCGGTGTCTGATTACATTTCCAACATTTAGCAGACATGACCTTAAACATCTTTGCCAATCTTGCCGGTGGAAAGTGCCATAAAAGCCAAACGTTTTCAAAGGGGGGGGGGGGGGGAAAGACCGAGGAATCCCAGCTGCCTTTTGGAAAAGCACATTTCATACAGCTTTAAAAGACAATTAAGCACCTTTTGAACATCTCTGCCTGTTTGGGGCAGGGAGAAACCGGGCGAGGGATCTCTCTGAATCCCTTCAGGGGATGTAGAACTTCTCCAGCAGGTTTCCAGGGCAGGGATCCAGAACAGCCCCACGTGGCTCTCTTCACTGGGACTGAGCAGAAAGAGATGCATAGGTACCCTTTGGCTACCCGGTCACATATGTGTGGTAAAGTGTGCATTTGTAACTATGGGAGTGCAAAGAATTTCACATTCCACAGGAGAATTTTACCCAAACCCTCTTCTCCTCACAACTAATTTCTGAAGTGACTTCTCCAATTGTGCAATCATCTTCTTTTAACGACTCCATAATCCCTTGCCGGGTGGCTGGGCAACTGAATGGAGCTAGCAGAGTGTTTTACTGGCCGGATGCCCTTCCTGTCGCCAATGTGGAGTTTTGTTCAGCAGATACTTTCTCATTGTGCGCAGAGAGAGAAATATCTGCCTCTACCTAGGAACTCACAGCCTCCAGATTGTGAGGCAAAAGCTCCAATTGTCCAATATTGGGAACCTTGTTCCAAAATAAAATAATAACCAAATTAAAGGGAGCTTGGAGGTCTTCTAGTCCAACCCCCGTTCAAGCAGGATTGCCATTTTAACAACAACAGCACTACATTAAGGCAGACCTGAGCAAATTCTCTGTGCACTTTTAATTCTTGTTTATCCTATTAGAGAAGTGGTTCAAAATGAGCAGACTCAGGGCAAGTTTTGTCCAGCCAGAAGGACCAAACGGTCACCTTGCTGGTGGAAGAGAGGGCCTGGGCTGGGTCTTGGTGGTGGAAGAGGAGAAGGAGTGGACCAAGCAAGAGGCAGAAAACATCCTGGCCAGGATTTGACCAGGAGAAAGTCAGACCAAACAGGAAGCCCAAATTCCTCCCAGAACTACATGCACGCCACCCTCTTGGAGTCTCCAGCGGTGGAACATGAAGCATGATTGATGTGCTCATTAAGGATCTGCTCTCCTCCATGTTCAGCGCCTGAGAGCAAGAGAGGGAGAAGCCAACTAGAAGATGGTTCTTCCTCCTCCTCCTCCTGCGAGGCAGGAGCTCGCTCTGCTGCAGGGCGCCAGGAGTCTGTCAGAACAAGTTGGACAAAACCACTCCGGAAAGAAGCTGACTCGACAAAGCTCCCATCCTCCCCCCCCCCAAAGGAAAGTCCCAGATCCGGTTCTCCTGGGGGGGGGGAGGACCGGAGTTGAGGGGCAGGGCGAATTCTTGGCAGCACCAAGTCCCGGGTGAAGGTGGCTCCGAGACTGCCAAGCAGAGATCCTGCAGGGTCCTCCATTTCTCCTCCATTAAAGCATCTCCTGGTGTCTAGACGGAGGTTGGTTGGCGCGTTGAGAAGCCCCCTCACGCTTGGAGATTCTTTATGAAAGAAACAAGCCTGCTCATTAGAACAAAGAATACAGGCCAGGAGGGACAAAGCACAATGAAAGGCTGTTTCGGCATCTGGGGCCATATTTTTGCAGACTTAAGAGAGTAAAAATGAACTAAGGCAGTGATGGCTAACCTTTTTGCCATCACGTGCCAAAAGTGGGGGGAGTGCAAGGGGTTGTGCACGTGCGTGTCCACACCCATAATTCAATGCTCCCCATCCCCACGAACTCTCCCCACTTTTGGCACACAATGGCACATGTTTGCCTCCTTCCGGTGGGACCAGAAGGCCCGTTTTTCACTCTCCCCTGGCTCCAGAGCCTTTCTAGGAGCCTGGGGAGGGCGAAAACGGCCTTCCCCAGCCCCCTGGAGGCCCTCCGGAGGCAGAAACAGCCTGCTTCCTGACTTCTGGTGGGCTCAGAAGGCCCCAAAATTAGCTGGCCAGTGCGTGCATGCATGCCAGACCTGAGCTAGGGCAACGCTCGCGTGCCCACCAATATGGCTCCACGTGCCATCTGTGACACACATGCCATAGATTCGCCATCACGGAGCTAAGGGATACCTAAACACCCTTTTAAGAAGATACAAGGAGATTATTTTATCCTGGTTCACATTTACAGGTAGTCCTCGACTTGCAACAATTTGTTTAGTGACCATCTGAAGTTACAATGGCATTGAATGAAATGTTTTCACACTTACGACCGTTGTAGCTTCCCTGTGGGTCACCTGATCAAAATTCAGATGCTCGGCAACTGACTCGCATTTATGACGGTTGCAGAGTCCCATGATCCCCTTTTGTGACCTTCTGACATAATAACCGTGTTATTAACTTGACAACTGTGGTGATTCACTTAACAACTGAAAGGTTGTAAAATGGGACTAAATTCACTTAACAACTGTCTCACTTAGCAACAGAAATTCTAAACTCAACCGTGGTCGTGAGCCGCCACCTATGCCTATACCGATGGCTGGAGAAGCTGCCTTCTGAGAATTCAGCCCTGGTTCAAAGGAGATGACCAGGGTGCTTATAGTTGCCAATAATTTTATTCTGGAAGACTCGCTGGTCTTCTGAATTCCATTAAAGGTAAAGATTCCCCTCGCACCTATGTGCTAGTTGTTCCTGACTCTAGGGGGCAGTACTCATCTCCGTTTCAAAGCCGAAGAGCCAGCGCTGTCCGAAGACGTCTCCGTGGTCATGTGGCCGGCATGACTCAACGCCAAAGACGCATGGAAC